ATTATCATTGTTGACTTTTACCACCAAAACCTAAAACATGTGTTGATACGAGGTTTAGAACCATTGGTGGAAATGGATATTTACTAGTGAATTAGTGATACCGGTACAAGAGACACTACTATTATCACCCTAGATGTATGCTTGCATTGTAGCATATTAGTCACTATCATTAATCTTCATCTTATGTTACTTCTCGCGTCTTTGCCGCAAGCGGCAAATGCTTCACTCAAACCCAGGAGCCTCCTATGTCCTTCGAGGTTCGCTTCGACTCTGGCTTTCAATCAACCGATGCTTCCTCGAGCCAAGGGTGACGTAAGCCAACCGACCTATCTCATCCTATCTCTGAGTGTAGAGTATCGATTAGGGATTTGGTGAGATACTTGTCACAACTAAAGTGTAGATGCCTTAACTATGCACAACGGGTTATTGGAACCAACATGACGAGAAAGAAATCTAAATGGTCAACTCATGATTCCCAAACCCAAGAGTTTCTTTAGAACACATGATTCTTAAGACTGTCTTCAACAACCATGACCCAAAATACAAAACTCATTCATCCTTTGGATAGCGCTACAGGCAAAGGGTTCAATACCTATTTTTGGTCTTGTCCAACAACAAGACCCAAAAGACAACCCTTTCTGCAAATGGGTCTTCAGGGAGAGGATACTCAGATTTGGGTTATGCATCTCCTAACACCCAAAATGGGTCTTCCATATAGATACTCTATTGGAAGCTATAGGTATTGTGTTGGAGACCCTTTTTGGGTTTGGGTTCCATAATAGGTCTCCTGTTGGAGACAACCTCAACAATATGAAAAATGCAGGATTGGAGTTGTGTGGAACCTACAATCCTACAAGAATTCAAAATGCAAGAAAAATTCCATTTGTGCCCTTTGAATGTAATAACATAAAAAATACACAAAGATAGACATAAAGAAAAGTTTCCATGAGGTCGAACCTCATGCTCGTTTCCCTTCAAAATTTATATGATTTTACACATTATATGTTTAATCCTTTATTCCAAATGGATATATAGAGAGAGAGAAAATTTTCTAAAGCCCGTTTAGATCTTGGAATTGATTTTAGTTTAATAATCGTAATTTAGACACATATCAATTAAGCTAATATAGTTGTATATAGATTATATTTGTATATTATTGTTGTCTCAACATAGCAGGTCTCAAGCCCTGGTAAAGGAGGAGGGTTGTGATAGACGTGGCGAGCCAATGTTAAATCTAGCCATTCTATTAGAGATGAAACCCGAAAGAAAATCGTTGGGGCGTAACCCTCTTAGCGACGCGCCATATCGAAACCCGAGTATGGTGTTAAATGGGCAAGGGCCAGGTCGGCACCCCCTTGGTGACGCGCCGTGTCGTGATCTGGTATGGTGTCAAGTGAGCAAGGATCGGGTCATCGCTTCCTTAGTGGCGCGCTACATCGGCGCCCGGGTGTAGTGAAAAATGAGCAAGGGTCTTCACATCTGAGTCGACGGGTGCGAAGGGTAAGGAAGCTAGTCGAACCGTTTAGTTAGTTAGAATGTAGGGTCACTTACAGGTAAGTTAAGAAAATTAGTTGATACCACGACTAGGAGGCGTGTAAATATATTATGCGTTCAAGAGACTAAATGGAAGGGTCAGGAGGTGAAGGAGGTGGACAATATAGGTTTCAAGCTTTAGTACACAGGGACAGTCGCGAATAGAAATAGAGTAGGAGTTTTGATTGATAAGAGCCTCAAGAATGGTGTGGTGGGAGTGAGATAGGATTATTTTAGTCAAGCTTGTCGTTGGTGATATGGTCTTGAACGTAATTAGTGCATATGCCCCCAAGTACGCCTCGACGAGAGTGCTAAGAGACAGTTCTAGGAAGACTTAGATGGCCTGATTAGAGTTGTACTTAGTAGTAAAAAACTTTTTATAGGATGAGATCTTAATGGGCATGTAGGTACTACAAGCGTAGATTTCGAGGCAGTTCATGGAGGTTTTGGGTATGGTAGTAGAAATCAGGAGGGGAGGAAGTTCTAGACTTCACGATAGCTTTTGATCTGATGATAGCAAACACTTTCTTTAGAAAGAGAGAATCTTATCTAGTGACCTTCAGTAGCGAACAACACTTTAGCCAGATTGACTTTGTCATCGCAAGAAGAAAGGACAAACGAGCATGCTTGGGTTGCAAGGTGATACCAGGGGAGTGTGTTGTTTCTCAACATAAGCTTTTGGTGGCAGACTTTCGTTTTCAGGTACGTGCCCGTAGGGATAAACAAGCTAAGATTGAAAGAACAAAGTGGTGGAAACTAAAAGGGGAGACGTTAGAGATATTCAGGGGAAGGGTTATCAAAGAGGGCTCTTGTAAGAAAGAAGAGCACATAAATAACATGTGGGAGAAGATGGCAACCAACATTCGAAAGGTGGCCTCAGAGGTGTATGGAGTAATCAAAGAAAGTAGAGGGGTGGCTAAAGATACTTGGTGGTGGAACGAGAAAGTCTAAAGGACTATTAAGGAGAAGAAAGAATGTTATAGACGCTTTTATCATGACAGAAGTGTGTACAACATAGAGAAGTACAAGGTGGCAAATAAGACTGCAAAGCGAGCTGTAAGTGTGGCAAATGGTAGAGTGTACAAGGATCTTTACCAACATTTGAGTACGAAGGAAGAAGAGAAGGACATTTATAGGATGGCTAGGGTTCGTGAGAAAAAGACAAGGGACTTCAACCAAGTTAAGTGCATTAAGGATGAAAGGAAGCATCTCTTGGTGAAGGAGGATGTGATCCAACATCGATGACAAGAGTATTTTGACAAATTATTCAATGGTGAGAATATGGACACAATCTTTCAGTTGGATGACTCTTTTGATGACACCAATAGACACTTTGTGTGGAGAATCCAAGAATCTGAGGTCAGAGAGGCGTTGAAAATGATGAAAGGAGGTAAGGCGATGGGACCGAATGGTATCCCAATCAAGGTGTGGAGATGCCTTGAGAACATAGCTATAGTATAGCTAACCAAGCTGTTCAACTATATTTTTCGATCGAACAAGATACCTGATGAGTGGAGAAGTATATTGGTACCAATCTACAAGAATAAAGGGGATATTCAAAGTTGTACTAATTACCGGGGAATTAAATTGATGAGCCATACTATAAAGCTATGTGAGAGAGTTATCGAGCATCGCTTGAGAGCAATAACGCGGGTCTCTATGAACCAATTTGGTTTCATGCCCGAAAGGTCAACCATGGAAGCCATTTTCTTAATAAGACAAGTTATGCAGCGGTATAGGGAGAAAAAACTTACACATGGTTTTTATTGACTTAGAGAAGGCTTATGATAAAATACCAATGAATGTTATGTGGTGGGCTTTGAACAAACATAAAGTCCCAACGAAGTACGTCGGGCTCATTAAGGACATGTACAATAATGTTGTGACTAGAGTTCGAACAAGTGATGGAGACACAGATGACTTTCCGATTAGGATAGGACTACATCAAGGGTCGGTTTTGAGCCCTTATTTGTTTGCCTTAGTGATGGATGAGATCACAAGGGACATACAAGGGGACATCCCTTGGTGTATGCTTTTTGCGGACGATGTAGTGCTAGTTAATGAAAGTCGGACAGGAATGAATCAGAAACTGAAATTATGACGGGAGACTTTGGAGTCCAAAGGTTTTAGACTCAGTAGAACTAAAACTGAGTATATGAGATGTGACTTCGGCACTACTACTCGGGAGGAGGAAGATATTAGTTTGGAAGGTCAAGTAGTGCCTAGGAAGGATACCTTTCGATATTTAGGATCAATGCTATAGAGAGACAGGGATATTGATAAAGATGTTAGCCATAGAATCAAAGTAGGGTGGATGAAGTGGCGGTAAGCATCTGATGTCCTATTTGACAAAAGAGTACCACAGAAACTAAAAGACAAGTTTTATAGGACGACGATTAGACCTGCTATGTTGTATGGTGCAGAATGTTGGCCTACAAAAAGATGACATGTTCAACAGATAAGTGTCGCGGAAATGCGTATGTTACGTTGGATTTACGGTCATACAAAAAGGGATCGAGTTCGGAACGATGATATACGTGATAGATTAGGGGTAGCACCAATTAAAAAAAAGCTTGTCCAACACCGGTTGAGATGGTTTGGACATGTCCAACAGAAATCTCCAGAGGCACCGGTGCGTAGTGAAATCCTAAGTCAATATAGTAATGTGAAGAAAAGCAGAGGAAGATCGAAGTTGACTTGGGTAGAGATAATAAAAGAAGACTTGAAATGATGTAATATACTCAAAGACTTAGCCTTAGATAGGAGTGTTTGAAAGACAATTATTCGCGTGCCTAAACCTTGATTGCTTCTGCTGGGTTTTAATTCTAGCCTATACCAACTTGTTTGGGACTTAAATGCTTTGTTGTTGTTGTATATTATTTTTTGGATATACGAGAGAGATACTTATGTGTTGCAATTCTATCATAGAGAAGTGAGCGGGTCATAAGTTGTAAAATGGAAACATAGAATGATGATCTATAAAATAAATTTTCATCTCCTACTTTATGAATCTAAGATAAACTTATATGTGAACTTTAGAAAGTAGTGTAATGTCAAGTTCAAAGACAAATAACCTAATTTAATAAGTAGATTTTCCGTTTGGCTGGTAGAATTTTGGTTGAAACTGATTAAAAATATTGTTCTGGCTGAATTATTGTGAGAGAAAAATACGGTTTCGTCTTGGGAAAAAAAACCGAACGAGCGGAATATGGGTAAGGCGAACGGGCTATACTGGTATTGCCTGGCAAAAGGGAATACACAAGGCTGTGTGTGTGGGGACGAACCAAGTCGCGCCGCCGCCGCCGCCGCCATCTCGGATCGCCTCTTCCTCTCGGATCTCCCTAGGTAAACACCACCCTCAACAGCGATTAACTCCCGCTGGGTTTCCTCCCGCGATCTCACCTCGCTGTTACGATTCCCCTGATCTTGGTGGTCATCGCCGCAGGTTTCGCGGCCGGAGCAGATCCATGGCGCTGGCGTCGAGGCTGGCGCAGCTGCAGGCCAAGGCGTGCGAGGCGACGCGGTTCGTGGCGCGGCACGGGTGCGAGTACCAGCGGTTCCTCGTGGAGAAGAACAAGAAGTACGTCGTGGAGCCGCCCACCATCGAGAAGTGCCAGGAGCTCTCCAAGCAGCTCTTGTACACCCGCCTCGCCAGGTTCGTGCAATCGATCTCCTCTCTTCCCAATCCGAGAATCCTGTGGCAGATCGTGTGCGCTGTACTCCGTGATCTCAATGCAATACTTCTTTTACCGATGTGCTTGATGAATACTTGCCGTTATTGGCCATACCTGCACTGTTGTGCTGGGCTGTGAAATTTAGCTCAATTCGTGGCCATAGTGATGTGGTTGGCTGGTTTGACCACAGGAGTTCTCTACTGATAAAGCCTTCGGGTTTTAGACTCTACTAATATTTCAACAGTTGATTTATTAAATATAGACTTGGTGTTCCATGTTTGACTTATACATCTAGTTCAAAGTTTGAGCTGAGAATTTGGGAGATAGATATATATAGCACTTCAATATTCGAAAGGGCACTCATGAAACCCTGGGGATGTATAGAGCAATATAACCTGAGTGTAGTTTTATGATATCGTAAAGTGTCTGTTTGATCAGTTGATTGAATAAACTACATTGTTGTGAAGAAAGTGGCTGGATACTGCTACATTGTGTGAAGAAAGTGGCTGGATACAGGAAAATTGTCCTTGTGAGAAAGTGAGTCTGGTTGATGTATGCTCTTTACAAAACTTAAAGTATGGATAGTATGGTTCTGGAAGCTGGGGCAATTAATTGTTATGAGCAATTAGCAGATGTATCTAATCTAGTTCCATAAGCAGATGTGCAATGACTCCAGTTGCCTGGTGGCGATTGACCACAAATCCTGAAAACATGCATAGGCTGGAAACTAAAAATCTTATATTTACACGTATAGTAAACCAAGCTTTGTAAAAAGGAAGTTTTCCCCTTGTTCTCTCTGAAGATGTAAGCTATGAATTCCAGTCTATTTAGTGGCGTGGTCGAAGCGTATAAGGTTTACACATATCCCATAACAGGCAATCTGACACTTGTTTCAGTGTTGAGTTGTTGACTTGACTAGATTTGAGGCAATTATTGGATATGATATTAGCTACGGACTACAATATTTGACTGTAGTTTTTTGTCATTGAACTATGATATGTGATTAAAGAAGAAATGTCCATTCTGTAAAGACCTGTGGAGGTTTATAAACCCTTAGAGATACAGATACTTTGTGCTCTAAACCTATAAAATTAAATAGTTTCATCGCTGTAAATGAAACAGCTAGGAGAAGAGATTGAACCATCGCACTTATGTAACTAGATTGTCTCATATCTATGTGTGTATATCATGAGCTGCACCTTTGAATACTATATTCAATTCTATCTTTGAACTGACACATGCTCCTTTCAGCCTTCCTGGTCGCTATGAAGCATTCTGGAAAGAGCTTGATCAAGTGAAGCAGCTGTGGAAGAACAGAAACGATCTGAAAGTCGAGCACGCCGGTGTCGCAGCACTCTTCGGTATTGAGCTGTACGCATGGTTCTGCACTGGCGAGATCGTTGGGAGAGGATTTACTTTGACAGGATACCATGTCTGAGCGCGCCGAGCAACAAAATCAGTCCCCTTTCGCTGATGACTCTTTTTAGGCAGCACATTTTTCGTGACCGGATGCCCAGTTTTGTTTTCGAATTTAGAGATGTATTCTTGGTGCTGTGTGGAATGCACGCGTGCATCTCGGTGAAACCGACTTGGTGAGATACAATAATCTGCTACATCATGGTTTAATTCTGGGGTACAACCTTTTGATGTTATTATTGATGCCCTTGGTAACTTGGTCTTAGTTTTTGCTGTGCGCGTGTATGTGATGCTGTGATGCCAAGTTGTTTTGACTGCCGTGTTTTACACCCAAGCAACAAATGCGGATGACGGATGAGGCAAGCTGCTGTCTTTTAGCTTGAAGCTGTATATTCGTTTTAGCCAGCGCGGGCGGCACTGCGGCAGTATCCTCCGGCTAGCCGGAGAATCCGCCCGCACGACTGCACGAGACGATTCTGTTAAGCTTGCTGCGCACAAAAGCTGGAAGCCCTTCGTTGCCGAATCTCCCGGAAGAGCCCCGGAACAAAGCTACGGTCGGTTTGAACAACTGAACCGAACTGGGTGTAATTGAAGACGTAAATTGAGGCGGTCAGTCGGAGCCCGCGGCGGCTGATCGGGGAATACACCGCCGCCGTCCCGTCTGGCGGCTGGTCCCAGCCGCGACGACCTCGGGCCACATGTTCTCCGCAGCTCGCCGCCTCCTCGCGTCCCGCGCCCGCGCCTTCGCCTTGGCGGCGGCCGCGCCCTACTCCCACTCCGCTGGGGCGTCCCCGTCGCGGCCTCGCTTCCCGACGCCCAAGGAGATCCGCAGGGGCTTGGACGAGTTCGTCGTCGGCCAGGACAAGGCCAAGAAGGTTACCAATCACACTCTCCACACCTGCCGCCCCCTTCTCGTCGCTCTGCCTATGGCTCTGCTGCTGTGGCCTCAGTATCTGCTCGTGTATTGGCATCAATGGGTTTTGTCGCGTTACTGCTTGTATGCACTAACAAGTCAGATAATTTTGGGGTTTCCACGGAATTTCAGCTTGTACCTATCAACCTATGTGATCCATCGACTTAGCAGGGAACTTGGCCGTGCAGGTGCTCTCTGTTGCTGTGCACAATCACTACAAGAGGATATACAACGAATCATCAAATAAATGGTGAGGTTCTGGTAACTGAATTCGGCTTTTCAAGACTGTGTCGTGATTCTAACACCGGATTACATCCCCTGACTTGTGATGAAAGTTCCGCGAAAAGCTTGGCGCGTGGTGGTGTCGCTACGAGCTGCGATGATGACATTGAGCTTGAAAAGAGTAACATCCTTCTGATTGGGCCGACATGGTCAGGAATTGTTTGTGGACATGTAATCTATGGCTGGACAATGGTAATGTTTTGTGCTGATGGCTTTGCTTTTTCTGTATAGGACAGGTAAAACATTGTTAGCGAAAACGTTAGCTCGGTATGTGAATGTGCCATTCGTGATTGCTGATGCAACAGCAATTACACAGGTAATCTTGGCTGCCATCACACATGTTTTGGGTTTTTCCTTGATATACTTAGCCCCATTGATCTTTCATGCGATTTTTGCTGCCATTTATATAAGAGATAGGCAAAGAACCCAGCTGATTGTTCTTGCTACCTTCTTCTTCCTGATGTGACAAATAGACTGCTTTTTCAGGCTGGATATTCTGGTGAAGATGTGGAATCTGTAATCTACAAACTTCTAGTGGTATGTATCAATGTACCATTCTTTGATGATTTACTGTAGTATTGCTACTGTTTGGTACGACCATCAGCTACAACTGTTGCATAGTCTACCATTTTTAAGGAATGTTATAGTCTATTTAAGGTCAGATCAGAAAGTTCCTTCACCAGAATATTTAAGTTGCTTTCTCAGGTGGGAACCCCCTTCTTCCCCCCCCCCCCCCTCCCAAAAAAAAAAAATCTTTCAAGTTATTTCCGCTATGTCTTCAATGTTCCATTTGATTGTCTGTCAAACTTCAAGGGAACTTGTTGAGTCAATATTCACAATTCTAGTTTGAAATAGTCATCAAATATTAGCTTGTGATTTCTTAAAGGACTTGGAGATCTTTTTTATCTTCTAGCTAACATGTGCTACCTCTTAGGCTGCTGACTTCAACATTGAAGCTGCAGAGCATGGAATTGTGTACATTGACGAAGTTGATAAGCTTGCAAAGAAGGTTATTGGACAAATTAGCTCTGATCTTAATATTACCTCAACATGTAATGAAGTTAATTTCACCTACAGTAATCATATTTATTGCTACTTTCAGGCTGACTGCCATGAGGATCGAAGGGATGTATCTGGAGAGGGTGTGCAGCAAGCGTTGCTAAAAATATTTGAAGGAACAGTAAGTGCATCTAGTAATTTTCTCGGCCACATTGTATATTCATATTTTGCATGCAGTAGTCACACTCCCTCTTTAGAAGAAAACAATATTTGAGAAACTGCACATGGTTAACTAACGTAGACAGTATGTAAACACAGTAGTTGACCATACTTTGCTTTCTCAACTTCAAGTTTCATGTCATGTCTTTCTATATTGACTATATTTTGCTTTCTGAACTGTTTCTTGTGTTTATTAGGTCATCAGCATGCCAAGAAAAAGAAGTCAAGATAATATACCCCAGGGTTATGTTGAGGTAATTGGTTGGACAAACTTATGCTCAGTCAGAGCAAACAAAATGTGCCTTTACATCTAGTAGTTCTGTGCCAATATGGAATTGGTCTGCTGTAAGTTGCATGTTTGTTTTGCAGGTCGATACACGAAACATACTTTTCATTTGTGGAGGTGCCTTCTTTGGCTTGGAAAAGATAGTCTCAGAAAGGTTATACAGTTAATAATTATACGAATTTATGCACCTTTAGGAATTATCCTTCTTCACCTAGAATTTATATGCTTCTCAAAGTACTTTTGTACTGTGCAAGACATCAACATTATCCTGTTGGATTTGGCATACCAATATGTCATGAGCTGCGGAACTGCAGCTGGACAACTGCTCTTCAGGAATCTTGCTCTATTGACACTGTAGGTTCAATTGCTTCAGCACTTGGCATGATTTTAGACATTTTTTTGTTTGATTCTGCATTGACAACAGAGGTCTTTCCGAATGGTTTCCCACTTAGGTTGAGAATGATGATCTTATTGCCTACAGCTTGATCCCAGAATTCATTGGAAGGTTGCCAATAACAGTTGGCCTGACCAATCTTAGTGAAGAGCAATTGGTTCATGTAGTAAATTTCTTTTAATTTTATAATTAAAGCAATCTTTCTTAAATTACCTTCTTAAATATTACCACCACCTCAGAATTATAGCCAATTCTTTTTGCAGGTGCTCAGGGAGCCCAAAAATGCAATAGGAAAGCAATACAAGAAGCTATTCAAAATGAATGATGTCAGTCTATGTTTCATTTCAGCAAATGAAATAACTGCAAGCTTTGGCAAAAAAAATCTTTAACTTTAAATGATAATTTATAACCAATAAACTTATTTATGTTTATGTTTCCTCCATAAGGTCAAGCTTCATTTCACTGATAATGCTTTGCGGATGATAGCAAAGAAAGCAGTCGCGAAAGAAACAGGAGCCCGAGGACTGCGGTCTATAATGGAGGACATTTTGACAGAAGCAATGTTTGAGGTTGACTTCTATTTTCATTTTGACATGCCAGTGGGTAAACAAGTATCAGCCTGGCTGATAGCACTTTGGTCATTCCATTGCAGATTCCTGATGCTGGAGAGGGGAAAGAGAAGGTAATTGCTGTTCTTGTCGACGAAGAGTCTGTAGGACCACTAAACCATCGAGGATGTGGAGCAAAAAAATTTCGGGATGATGGAGCCTTGGAACTGTATGTTTACCAGAACAATATCAAGCTGCCCGGGCTGATTCAGAGCAACCCCAGACGCAGACTGCATTTTTCGGCTCTGCCTTCTAGTCGCATTATCGGCGACAAAGCTTTGGATTTCCCAAATATTTCCTTGTTTTTCATCGATATATGAATGGATTGTATTGATGCTATGCAAGGTCAACATTTTTACACAATGAAATATGATGAGGTTGATTTTCGTGTCAACTGTTGGGATAGCAAAAGAATGGCTGGATCTCACTTTCTGCTTTCTTCGGTAGCTTGCAATGTTGTTGCTAAGAATAGATTTTGCAACTACAATTCATGTCATTTACACGCTACTGGTAGCAAACACAGACAATTGTTTTGATGCTGAACAAATAGAAAATGGCTTCCAATAATTACGCATCAAAATTCTATAAATGTTTGTATGCATCCAGTGCAGTAACACAATGCTCAGCCAGAAGCAAGCTAATTTTACCAGAAGATGAATCTTTGGCATCGCGAAATCACTAATCGCGCTCATTATATTGATATTGATATATAAACTGACAAGCTATAGCTTATGACTTGAGTGTGATGAACAAATTGTGGACATAACTTCTTGTGGTCATCACAGATAGGGCACATTGTCTCCATTTCTTTCTGCCGGATTGCCATGAAGTTCCCCTTCTTCATGTCTCCACTTTCTGTTGGATTGCTTTGAAGTGCCCCCTTCTCCATCGTCTCCACTTTCTGTTGGATTGCCTTGAAGTGCCCCTTCTCCAGCTGATTTAAGGCCTAGCTTACTGAGAAAGCCACCATCCAGGGTGTTTGCATCAAGAGCAGGCGCTCCTTCATTCTCAGTCTTCCTTTTATGGGCTAGGATAGCTTCAATGGCAGCGGCACTGGCTTTTGCTGCGGCTTCATCCTTAGCAGCAATCTCTGCCCTCCTTCTCTCCCTCTCTTCCCTGGCAAGAGCCTCTGCCCTCACCTTCTCTTCTGCAGCCCGGGCTTCTGCTTCAGCCTTTTCCCTCTCCACATCCTCATATAACTTGGCGATGTCATTTTCCCTCCCATCTCCACGTAATGCTCCTTCCAAGAGCTCCCTCATTCCATCGCTGAACACAACCTTCTCATCCAAAAGAATACCTTTTGCAACCTTGACTGCATCATCTAACCGGTCAGCAGCAATATATGCCTTCAGCAATGTCTCGTAGGTTGAGATGCTTGGGCTAACTCCCTTCTCCTTCATCTGATCGAAGTATTCCTGAGCCTTGTCGACCATACTGAAACCCACCAGGCCATCAACAAGTTTATGATATGCAGTTGCATCAGGCTTCAGCTCCAAATTGTTCATTTTGTCAAAGTAAGAGATACCATCATCGATGCGGTCGACACTGAAGCATGCTTCCATGAGCAGTAAATATGTCTCCTCATCCGCACCAACCCCACTCTCACACATCTCACTGTAGAGCACCTCCACCTTATCTATCAACTGGTTAATCTGCAGGTGCCGAATCAAATTATTATAGGATGCCACATCAGGCACCAGCTTCCATTCTCCCATTCTTCTGAACACTGCAATTGCATCTTCAAATCTCCCAGCAGCACAATATGCATCAACCATCACCCTGAAGCTTCTCAGATCAACTGCAATCCGCAGTGGAGGGTCATGCTCCCCAAGCATTCTGTCGAACAGCTTAAGTGCATCCTCCAACCTCCCATTCTGCCCAAGCGCATCAACCACCTCATTGTAGCTCTCGGCCCCAAACCTCACCGCCAATTCAACACCGAGCACCTCTTTGTAACACTCCATAGCCTTCTCCTCCATTCCCATAAGGAAGTACGCTTTCATGAGAGTCCCATACACAATGCCATCAAGAACTGGCTCGCCCCCAACCTTGTCCTTGAGTTCTTGGTACAGCTCCATGGCTTTGGCTCCATCCCCAGCACCCAAGAACCCAGCCATGAGGATTCTGTAGACCTTGGGATCCGGCCCGACGAATCCAGAGTCAAGCATCTCATCCTTGAGCTCGACGGCATCCGCGAGCCGGCCGTGGTCGACAAGACACTCGACGACGACGCGGTAGGCCGTCGGGGAGGGTGGCACGGGGGATCCGGGGCGGGCGAGGATGCGGAGGTGGTGGAGAGCGCCGTCGTCGAGGTGGCGCGCGGCGAGCGCGGAGAGGTAGAGCACGTGCGTGGCGGCGGTGGGCGGGACGGCGGCCTGGAGCGCGAAGCGGTGCAGCGCAAAGAAGTCCTCGAGGCGGCGCGCGCGGAGGAGCGCGGCGAGGACGGCGGCGCAGGTGCAGGACGAGGGGCGGCAGTTGGAGTGGAGCGCGTGGCGGGTGAGGAGCACCGCCTCGGGGAGGTCGGCCTGGGGCCCAGAGAGGAGCGCGAGGATCCGGTTGTGGAACGCGAGGCGGGACGGCGCCAGCGTGGGGAGCGGCTCCGCGAGGCGCAGGGCCCGCGGGGAGGGCGCGGGGGTCGGCGGCGTGGCGACGAACGTGTCCTTGCGGAGCTCCCGGCGGGAGGCCGCGGCCGAGGCGGCGTCCGCGTGCGCGAGCGGGAAGAGCGCCGGCGTGAGGCGGCGCGCCGAGACCGGCTTCGACAGCGACATCCTTCTTCCGCGGTTGCGCTTGGGCGCGACGGCCGCCGGGCGGCGAGGAGGGTTTTGGGGGTTTCGGCCTTCCGGGAGTGGAGAATTGGGAGCAGGAGGTGGCTTGTTCTGCTGTTACGTTACGCCTTCGCTGAAGAGAAACGGAAACAGAAGCTCGGCTACTTTTTTTTTTTGATAGAGGTAAAACCCAGCTTTCATAGAAAGCTAAAACTGTCAGCGGCAGCAACAAAACAAGAGAAAAACAGAAAGAAAAAAAAACGGTACACACACGGATGCCGGTAGTGTCGGAGCTAGAAATTATACATAAAGAGGCTAGTAAAAAAGGTTTGATATATACGAAGTAAGTATAGCCCATCTGTTTAGATTTTTTAAGGTGCATTCACTGCACTTAGTTAAGTGCACGTTAAGTAAAAAGTAAACTATGATGAAATGTAATTCCTGTCTCTTTTTAACTGTCTTTATAGTTTCCTGAGAAGTCAAATGTATTTTCAACTTTAACCAAATATATAAAAAATACTAATATCTATAAGACATAATTAGTATCATTAGATAGATCATTGAATTTATTTTTATAATAAACTTATATGGAGATAAAAATATTGTTAATATTTTTTTCATAAATTTAGTTAAACTTAAGAAGGTATAACCGCACCCATGATAAGAGTTAAATAGGGACAGGCATGGCCCGCCGCTAGCCCCCCTAGCACCACCCCATGGCTTACACAAAAGTTCCACGACAACACAAAGCACCACACGCCCAAACAGAAATAAGATTGCCTGATTAAAACTGCTTTGAATCTTGCATTTGGCCCAATTGAAAAAATCTTTGTTTAAATTGAATTGTTGTGTGAGAAAAAACATTGTTTCTAGCTGAAAAAAACAATGTTTAACAAATCGAATATAGGATAAGCCAAACGGACCTAAGCAAAGGGCAACAGCTACATAAACCAGGCTTCCTGCAACTTTTCACCTTGCTTCTAAAATTCCTTCAACTAGCACTTCATATTCTGCATTGAACTCTTCTGTGAGCTTGGAATCTTCCACCTTCAACAGGATCTTCCGTTTCTGCAGATAAGTAAACATTGAGAAGCTCTGCTACTCTGCTGCGTGCCTGCGTGTTCCTAAATCGTGGTAGACCGACAGCAATTTCTTTTTGTGATTGGAACCTTTTTTTTTTGGCTTTTTGCCAAACCTTTTGTTTCAAACTTGGAAGTGGATATTTACAGCTTGACGGTCTGATTATCCTCTATCAGTGACATCCAACAACGAACTGGAGGCTTAGGAGCTCGGTGTTTTTCTCTCACAACAAATTAGTATAAATCAAATTTCAGCAAAACGGACGGGAGCACGGGACATCCAGAAGAATTTTGTTGGAAACTAGAACGAAAAAAAATCAAGGCGAACGAAGAACTGGGCATACAGCAGCAGCATATGCTGGTGTGGAACCCAGCATGTGGCAGCATTTCCATAAACCCCCAAAAAAATCACGTTCATTTTTCATGAAGGAAATTTTTCCCTTCTTTTCATTATTCATTCACATCACAGTACCACCACACATTTCATGAAGGTACGTAGCCTATGTCCGTTTCTCAGCTTCCATTGGCCGCGACGGGCCGACGGCGACCACCCCAGAATCTTCGCCGTAATATGCCGGAAACCCCTCGCCCCCTCGTCCCCTCGCCGCTTCGTGCTACCGAAAACACCCCTGGGCAACCAGCCCCTCCAGCGACGACACGCGCCGTGAATACTGGAAAAGCGCAGGGGTATTCCTGGACATGGACGTGTCGGTATTAACCCAAGCCTAATCGCCACGGCCACACCACACCACTCCTCCGACCTCCGCGCGGCGATGCGGAGCAGAAGCAATGGAGGTGCTCAGCTCCAGCCGCCTCGCTAGGGCACTCCTCCCGAACCTCCTCGACCAGGCCTCCAGGCCCCTCAGCAACAGCAAGCCCCCGTGCCGCCGCCCCCGCGGCGCCGTCCATACCCTAGCCTCCTCCGCCCACGGCCCCGCCGCCGATGCCGCCGCGCCGTCGTCGTCGCTCGCCCGGCTCCTCGCCGCCGCGCTGCGGGGCGGCCGCGCGGGAGGGGATCTCCCCGACCTCGCGGCCGCGGCCACGGCCACGGGTGGGGCCGGGATAGGGACGCTGCTGATGAGCACCACGGCGGCGGCTGTGACCAAGGCGCGGGAGAGCCCGTACCTGCTGGCGCTGGCGGCCAACCCGACCTTTGTGTCGGGGCTGGTGGCGTGGGCCGTGGCGCAGGCCGCCAAGGCCCTGCTCACCTCCGTCGTCGAGCGGCGGTGGGACCTGCGGATGCTCTTCAGCTCCGGCGGGATGCCGTCCTCGCACACCGCGCTGTGCACCGCGCTCACCGCATCCGTCGCGCTCTGCCATGGCGTCAGCGACGCGCTCTTCCCCGTTTGTCTCGGTTTTACTCTAATTGTTATGTACGATGCCACGGGCGTCAGGCGCCACGCCGGAATGCAGGCCGAGGTGAGCTCATGGTTCGCTTGCTTCCTTTTTGTACAGTATATCTTGCAATGTTTTGGTGGCATTATGCTATTCATTTGGGAAATCTTGATTTCGTTGAGCTAGTTTTGCAGTCCGAGGGAAACCCTGCAGCATGATGTTATTCTCATATGGCTACGATTAAATCAGAACGTGGTGGCTACGATTGTTTTCTATCATTGCGATACTCTGCTAAGCGACAGTTAGTTGGTAGGATATCATGTTCAAGATGTAGATTTTTGTGTGATTGGCTGGACATCATAATCCTGAAACAAACAGTTAAATCTAAGAGAATGGTGTGGATTTTTGTGTGATTGGCTGGTCAATGTGGCTTGGATTTTAGTAGTCTCCATTTCTGGATCTGTATCTCGTCTGAGTTACTGTGATACTGTTGTCTTGTCTAGGCTCGTACTTTTTTTTTGTCTTCTATCCACTGTGGTTTACTTGTTGGGGGGTGATAATTGTGATGCCACTATATGTAGTAATAGCTTAATATTCATCATTAAACATGGTGTTGTTGGCTTTGTCACAGGAAGTTTAGAACTTCATCTTGGTAGCTTAGATCCATTACAGTGCCCCTTAAACCTGGAGTACTGTGTTCTGCTCACAGGGTTTTGTTGACCATATATCAAAGCGTTGTCATTTGGCAGTTTGCCTGGTGCATCACGGCCTGTGGTCCGAATGCCCAATGAGCCTACATAGAAAAAAAAAAGGCATTCCTGTTCTCAGCTATATTTGCTGAGACTCCTTTTGTTGATGATATTCAATATAAGACATTGCGATGGTCATCAACCTAGCAGCACTTGCTGTGTAGGCATTTCATAACACTTATTGTATTTTGACATCTGAACTATGTTTAGAGTAATCTTGACTATCTCTTGGGCCTTGGGGCATGCTCGAATCACATCAACCAAGCACAACATGATAGGTTATGATGTGGTGCTTTTCCTGGATGCTACCCGCTGTGTGCTTTGAAGGAAGTTTTGCTCCTCGAATTTCATTGTTACTAGACTAGACTAGATGTGTGCCTGTTGTATGTACCTTTACTCATTTACTAATATGTGCATTATGATCACACAGGTACTCAATAAGATCGTTGAGGACCTGTTTGAAGGCCATCCGATTAGTGAAAGAAAACTCAAGGAGTTGTTAGGACATACTCCATCACAGGTCTTTGCTGGAGCAATTTTAGGCATCTTGGTGGCCTGGTATTGCTGCCAAGGTTGCATTGTTCCCATTTGATGTTGTTATTGTATGAATGATCCAGAAATGAAACTATTCCATCACGTAGATTTTGCATGTAGCGTAACCAGTGTTCTGGAAAACATTTGATCTTCTTGACTAGCTTGATCATTGTTAAGAAGGTAACTATTGCCCTTCTTCTCTGGGAGTTCCATGTATATATGTAACCTCATAGTATGAAACAATCAAGATATCCATCCTTTCGAGTCTCAATGCCAAGTTGAGGCTCAATTTATTTATGATCCAGTTGTCTCTATTTATCCTGTGGGCTGTGTGGTATGAGCTATTCTATAACCGTTTGTGTACTTGAAGATACACATTTGTACATCAGGAACCTGTAATTTTGGTGCTATGTTCCTGCTACGTATAAAGTGGACTCTGCTTTCTGTTACCACAGGTGGAACTCGTCTGTCTTGACTCTTGACAGGTGACATTTGTTGATCTTCCTTTCATTGGAGGAAGTGATGTCACCCTCAAGTCCTCAACCGGTGTCGCGAGTATGCCGTTTGCGGAGGTTACTGACTGATAGCCGTGCAATTGTTTTGTTTCCCTCGTTATGGAGCGACAATGAAGACCCTTCTTGGCCCACCTCTGTTTCAGCCTGCCCAACTGGGCTGGACTGGCTGTAGCCTGTAGGAATTTGGAACATGTTTGGTTACAGAAAAAGTTTATTTTTCCTCTCTCAGCAAAAGTTAGTTTTTTCTCCCTCAACTATGAAGCCGGACACAACTCCTCCCTCGTCTTCCAAATACAGACACGTGACCGCATGGCTGTTTCTCTGGGTGTTTTTTCTCGTTTTCTTTTATGTTTATTTTGACTGAATCTTTGAAAATCGTAGTAAATTAATCATAAAAAAGAAAATCTAATTTTGTAGGACTTCACGTGAGTAGATATACATAGTAAAAATATGATACGGTATGTTTTAGTATAAAGTTTTTTCTATAGCTTTATATCTATGTTTTTCTAGTAATTTATAGTTACAGTTTCTGTGGTTCAATTATAGTGAAATTTTTATGATGGGTTAATCATTGCATGCTTGAGCTGTAGTAAAAGTTTTATACTCATTGGATCATGTATGACTAAGTTATAGATTTATCTAGGTTTATGCTTGTTAAATAGTTTTAAAATAGTTAAAAGTGTGTAAAATAGAAAATGTGTGTTCCTTGTCTAATGTTACTATTCTTATATTTTATGAACACTTAACATAACCATGTTGTTACATAGAACATTACACACACAAAACACATATTTTCTATTTTTACACACTTTTAACTATTTAAAAACTATTTAACAAGCATAAACCTAGATAAATCTATAACTCAGTCGTACATGATCCAATGAGCATGAAATTTGTACTACATCACTAGCATGTAATGATTAGCCCGCCATAAAATTTTCACCACAATTGAACCACAGAAACTAAAAGAAAAGTACAGATCTAAAACTACAACAAAAACTTTGTACCATATCATATGTTCATTGTGTAGATCTATTCATATAGAGTCCAACAATATTGAATTTTTCATTTTATGGTTTTCTGTGATATAATACGATTTTTCAAAGATTCGATCGAAATAAACATAGAAGAAAAGGAGAAAACCCATTGAGGAAACAGCCACGGGGTCACGTGTATGTATTGGAGAGAAAAGGGAGGAGTTGTGTATGGTTTTATAGTTAAGTAAGGAAAAGCTGACTTTTATGATAATGGTAAAAATTAGATTCGTCTGGCTGCTTAATCTTTCTTACTTACATCCGTGGACGGTTGCTTGTCGTGCAATTTTTTGGAAATTAAGGGCATTGCTTGGTTCTTTAATGGCTTGCCTCATCTAGCTTGGCCGGACAAGGCTAATTATAGAAGTAAGAAAAAAAATGTCAGTACAGACTATGAGGTGATCTTGTCCACTAATCAAACAGATGTCTTTCTTTAGTTTCTAGCTTGACAAGACAAAATAACGATAGGTAAAAGATTCAAGCAGTCCCTAAAGTCGTCGTGGCTGCCGGCTGGCGGTCATGCACAGTCTCTCTGAGTCGGATATGATCTTGCGTCCGCTGCGCTGACAAACTGAAACAACGACTTCCCGGCGTTTCAAGCGGTGTGCGTGCATGTGTCCCTATCCTGCGTCGTGCAGTGCAGTACAGTGCCGTTGACGACGAGCAGACACCAACGTCGCGGTCCATGATCTGCCGAGTTTGACATTGCCGATCCAAAGCTTTTCCAGAGTTAGCCCACACGCTCCAAAGTCCAACCCAATTTCCCGTCCAAAAAACCAACCCAACCGTCATCCCGTGAGGCCATGTGGAAGAAGTCACCTCCTCACCGAACATAAATCTCCGATATCAAATCATGTCCAACAATAATTTATAAGATACCCGTAGCTCTCAGCATGTTAATTTATATACTTTAATAAAAAATAGATAAAATTATTCTTCATCAAGAGCTAATTCTATTTACAGACGTTGGACATAGGAAAAAAAGTGGAAAACACTATTCTAACAGGAGTTTAATCACCGCTCTATTTTAGCCGAGGATGATATGATGGATTTTCGACACTAAAAATAGAGTGTTTTTGGAGGATCTATTTTTTTTCTCCCAATATAGTTTTGCAACCATCCAAAACTATATTTTATGAGTCTGTCTTTGTGATAGGGGACTGAAGGTTTGTTTAACCATATTACACGATATGGATGATTTTATCAGCAAATTAACTAGCCGCACCAGCGCGTCCCCGTCCTTCTCCCGGTGGCCAGGATGCCCAGCCCTTAGGCCATCAGCTCCTGCAACCTGCTCTCTCGCCCGCACACCACTTGGGCATCCTGGTTCGGTTCGTTGCACCTGTCGCGCTCTCGGCGCCCAGCAGGGTCCACGCCATCGCCAACTGTGCGTGAGCGCCGGCCTGTTTGCTTGAACTTATCGGCTTATCAGTGTTTTTCTTTCACAGCAAAGCCGGCTTTAATACCAGCGGTACTGTAGTCCGATCTCTGACCACGACGCCGCAGTCGGCAGCCGGGCCGGAAGTCGCTTCGCTATAAAGATCGCGGACGCGCGCCTCCAGCCAGGGAGACAGACAAAAGGAGGCGTGCGTGGACACGGGACGCGAGGGAGACAGCGCGCGCGCTAGTGGCGTGGCGTGGCGCGAGAACACACGACTTCATCGGCGCGCCCGCACCAAGTTGCAAGGTCTCCTCGCCGTCGCCGCCTCGCCGGCCTACCGAATCTCTTACCTCTCGATCGGTCTGCTGCTGCATACCATAGCCTCGTGCCGCGTGGGCCGGCCGCCGCACAGGCACAGCGCGTCGCGTCCCGATCGAGCGGCTGCTCGCTCGCTCGCACGCCGCCGGCGCGATGGGCTGCGTGTCGTCCAAGCGGTTCAGCAGGAGCGCGCCGGCGCACGAGGATCCGGCCGTGCTGGCGTCCCAGACCTCATGTGAGCATCTCATGTCATCTCTCTCCCCCTGCTCACACCGGCAACGACGTCCCCGCCGCGCCGATTGCGTGACGCTTGACTGACCCCGGCTGCTGCGGTTGTTGTGGGCGCGTTTAGTTCCCAAAATTTTTTAGGTTTGGCTGCTGTTTGACTAACGTAGCACTTTCGTTTTTATTTGGTAATTAGTGTTTAATTATGGACTAATTAGGTTCAAAAGTTTCGTCATACGATTTCTCACATAACTGTGCAATTAATTTTTTTTCGTCTACATTTAGCACTCTATGCATGTGCCACAAAATTCGATGTAACATTTGGGATGAAAATTTTTGGAATCTAAACAGGCCCTCTGTTTGCTTGTGTGGCAGTCACGGTGAACGAGGTGGAGGCGCTGTACGAGCTGTACAAGAAGCTGAGCTTCTCCATCGTCAAAGACGGGCTCATCCACAAGGTGGGGAACTGGGGATCGATCGATCCATGGATCCAGCTCCATTCCATTCCCTAGTTTCTGATTGATTGCGCTGACCAATTGGAGTCTGTCGTGTTGGTTTGGTCCATCAGGAGGAGTTTCAGCTCGCCTTGTTCAGGAACAGCAAGAGAGCGAACCTCTTTGCAGACCGGGTAAGCGTCTCCTGCCCATTTTCGCCCTTATATACACAGTTACATGAGGAAACTTTCGTCTGTGACCAAACGCACTTTTCTTCATTAATTAACTCGGTTCGTGTTTACTGTGACAGGTCTTCGATCTGTTCGATCTCAAACGGAACGGAGTCATCGATTTCGAGGAATTCGTGCGGTCGCTCAGTGTATTCCACCCTAAAGCACATATATCGGAGAAGACAGCGTGTATGAACTGTATATACCTCAATGTTCATTCATCGTCTTCTCGTGCGTTAGGATCTGCTTGGAACGGGAGAATTTTTTCCTTAATCTTGATTGCTTTTTCATGTGAAATTCCTGTACGATTCCTGCGTCTCTAATGGTTACATGGAGAAAGAAGGAATTGACATGTTTGATTTGGGTTTCTCATCCTCTATGCAGTCGCGTTCAAGCTGTATGATCTAAGGGGGACAGGTTACATCGAGAAAGAAGAGGTGATCGATCATGCATTCTCATCTGTTTTCCGAAAAAAACAAAACAAAGCAGCCAGGGTTCATGCCTTAATCACTCTGAAAGTCCTAGTGCCTGTGTAAACTGCACCTGTTTGATTCTGATTAAATATCAATTTTGTTCTTTGAGAAACACAGCTCAGAAAGATGGTCTTGGCACTGCTTGATGAGTCTGATCTCTGCCTTTCAGATAGCACTGTCGAGACGATTGTCGATAATGTAATTGATCTACTGCTACTCTGCTAGTCATCAGGTGTTTGTTTGCAAAGATCTCATTTTTATTCTAACATGTATTGCGTTGCTCTGTTTGGACTGGAGTGCAGACATTCAGTCAAGCGGACTCAAATGGGGACGGCAGGATAGATCCTGAAGAATGGGAGGAATTTGTGAAAAAGAACCCGGCAACATTAAGAAACATGTCTCTCCCTTATTTGCAGTGAGTAGCGCATCTCCCCTGGGAAACGTATTTCTTAAATTGTTATTCCTGTCCTTTCCGTTTGAAGTGATTTTCCCTTAAAAAAGGATCTGAATCCTTTTGAATTATTGTTGATTGTTCAGGGACATTACCATGTCATTTCCCAGCTTCATAATGCATTCAGAAGCCAGTGACTGAAATATTTGAGTACAGCTGCGTATAAGGAAGCACAGTTCCATCAGCTCTGTTGTGCCTTAGTTAGCTCCTGACTTCGTTGGATCCTACAGCCTAGTCCACGGACCATGGCACAAGGCACCGGAGCAAATTCAGAATGTAGCTGCAACGGAGTGCATGAGGATTGCTGCCATATGCTGCAGCCTAACAAGATGATGACGAAAAATCATCTGAATGATAATCTTCAGATGGTAACCAGGCAACCATTTTCTCAGTATCGAAACATCGTGGAGGATGTTACGTTAAAAAAATACCAGAACACCGGCGCGGCTTTGCCGTGCCCTTCTTGGAGCGGGCCAACCAGGGATCACCGAGAATGGCCGAAAGAAATGTTGACTGTGAAGCAAAATATGCACTCTCATCTCTTGCTCCGCAATTGTCAGACTATATTGTACTTAAAGCTTGAATAGAGGACAGGGTTAGCTGCCTAGATTGCTTTCTCCAATTATTTCATCCTGGTAGTAAAAGGTCCTAGAGCAACTTTGATGTCAGCTTGTAAGTTAGTGCACATGTAAAGAACTGCATATATATATGCTAGATGGTTGAGTTTAACAGAGATTAGTACTGTTTTGTAAGAGGGCCGGGGTGCTATGTTGTAAAACCAATATCATGAAAATTTGTAAAGTGGCTGGGTTTTACATATTCTGTAATGACTAATGCATTTAAAATAAGACTACAGAAGTACATCTGACATAGAAGATCATCACAGAACCAGAGAAAATAAAAAGAGAAACTTGGAGGTCAATTGCAGCATAGCTACCTTTGTATGTTAGCAACATTCTTAAGAAAAATAACCATGTTAATGACTTGTTAATTAACTGTACAAAAAGATCCATGTAATTCATTTCATGGCCAATCAGCCAACAGACATCCATGTAGTAGTCAAAGTCAATGTAATTCATACATTCCCTTGCATTTCGCCTTATATCTTAATCCCATTCATATAGCAACAGGGCTTGGAATATTGTGAATGTAGTAGGTTACAGTATATACAGGCAAGGCAACAGAAGGGGAATAGATTTTTGAGCTAGAAACATTGTGAACATGGCTAGCAATAGGGCTACAAACATTGTGAATATAGTTGTGGTGGTGGTTTTAGTATAGATAGCGAGCCTGTCATTAGTATGAAAAATATCATCTGATTCTTCTCGAGTTCTTGAGCTATCAAGTGAAGGTACATGCATGATGCATCAACCCATAACTGTGTCAGAGTTGCTAGGCCCGTGTGTTTAACTTAGCAGTTTATGTGCGAGAGAAATATTTACTTTCACAACACATGTAGTAAGATGATTAGAAATAAGAACAATGTTAGGGGCTGTCATTGAAACTGAGCAAATAATTGATATTATTTTAAGTATAAACAATAGCACACAACATTGTATTGTAAGTGTAGCTTGAGCAGGGATGGGGCAGTGGCACTATCGATTTCAGAGCTCATTCAGCAACGGATTTTGCAGATGAACCAAACAAGTTGCTGAGAAAATAGAGATGGGCAGATATGTAAAGGAAAAATCTGAGAAATCCATACTGGTATAAGCGCAATAAACATATTTCCTTGTTTGCTTGATTCTCTCTTCGGAATTCAGAAACAAAATTGATTGAGGCCAACAATTAATTAGATGCAAAGGGGACATCAATATGCCTGGTCGGGCGGCAGAATCAAAGGTGGACCTAGGCCGGCCTGGTGAGAGAACAGAGAACCGTAGCCAGCGCCAGCAGCTCCATCTCATCTTCCACCTTGCACCGCCGCAACATTGTTGAACGTCGCATTGCTCGGCGGCCACCAATCCTGCGAGGCCACGGTCACCTGCTGCGCCGCTGGTCGAATTTCCTATGCTCGGTGGGGGTCATGCGGACGCATTCGCCGATGCCATCGGAAAGAAGACGGCTATTGTGTACCTACGCGCGAGCGCTATTGGCCTCGTGCCTCCTGCTCTACTCCGCCATGGCTATTGGGCATTTGGGCTCAACATTGAGATCGCCTCTGTCTCCGTGGTCACGGCTGCGAGGAAGCGGAGCGGCGGGCTCCACCTCCACTCGATGGCTGCGAGCGGGGGGCGCAGGATGCCACGATACGGGCAGGGAAGAGCTGCCGCACGGGGACAGCAGGGGAAGAGGAGGGTAAGGCAGGCGGACGGAAGTACCGGCGGCGGTGCAGGCCGTGCAGGAGGGTGGTGGCCCTACATCCAGTGCGGCGGCGCGAGGACGGGAGCGCCGGGCGTTGGGGAAGAAGGGTCTAGAAAAGTGCAAGCTCTTTTGCCTGCTGTTGGACGGTCCGATCAGGATCTGACGGCCGATAAATTGGAGGCGACGTGGCCCAATCCCTGGCCAGAGCTTGGCCCTGATTTCGTAGTATAGAGATTGCAGAGGATCAACAAGTCTGTTCATCGAAGCAGTGCCTGAGATCAGAAGCTAACTGCCAAGCTAATCTTGTGTATAGTTGCAATTGACAGCAAAGAGTAACTTGTGGGGGAGTTGGTGTTGTTGATGAACTCTAGGCCTTGTTTACAATCTGGACACTGTAGCACGTTTTGTTTGTATTTGACAAATTTTGTCCGATCATGAACTAACTAGGTTCAAAAGATTCGTCTCGTGATTTACAACCAAACTGTGTAATTAATTATTTTTTTACCTACATTTAATGCTTCATGCATACGTCCAAAAATTGATGTGACGGAGAGAGTGAAAAAACTTGGAATTTTGAGACAATGGCCCTAGCAGTTTTTGGCTGGTCAGGTGTTTTCATCTTTCTTCGCTGCATGCAGTTGTAAGTTGTAACTTAAAATAAATGGGCGGATCCAGCTTCCCGAAGGCCTTCTCTTTACTGGGCCTTCGTATGCTTAGCAAAATGTCATTTTTTCTTCCCTGGACTGTCATCCTAGTTTATTTTTCTCCTCAAACTTAAACTAGACATCTTGGTCATCTTTTGTTAATGCATGTTCATATACAACGGATGCATTTTTTTTTTTTTTTGAAAAATGGTGGATCCTGCATCTGTCGAATTGTTAACGAGCGTTTTTCATGCGGGCTTCGCATGGGCCCCGATGGTAAAGTCTGTACAGGGGCCATGGGCCAAGGCGTATCCAAACAACAGTCTTCTCTGGTAAAGGATCACCGTACCCCAAAAGAAAAAAAAAGAAAAAGCATCACCGCTCCATTTATTTTTTTCAGAGATAGAGATAAGACATAGGAGAGAGAAAGGACATGCCTTTCACTGTTTTAATTTTTTTTTCTCGAACGTGCACTGCAGCACGTATTTTATTAAGAGAAAGCAGATGATTTCACTGTTTTAATTTAGTGCACTAAGATTTTGTACAATCCTGGAGATATCAAAGTCCCCTGTGACACTGATACCACTATCAAGTACTATACCAGCAACAACAGTAAAACACATTGTAACTACTGGCACAGTATGCAGAGTAGCACACAGCATTGACGAAACGCTGCAGCCTCTGCAGGCGCGCGCGATAAAAGCCAAGTCTTGGCGCCGTGCATGGCGCGTACGAGCTCGCCGAATCTGGCCGCGATATGATGCCACGTAGTGCCGTAGTGCAGTGATGCAGGAGTAGCATCTATGAATCCCGGCCCTTCTTCAGAGAACGATATGGATGGAGGACAGCCTGGGCGTGTGGCGGCGCCGGCGGCAGCAGGTGGAGGTCAGCTAGCTACAATGGGGGCCGGGGCCGGCCATCCACAGCTGCGCGAACATGACCTTGGAGACGCTCTGCAGCACCTCCAACGGCGTCACGTCCCCCTTCACCACCACCTTCTTGCTCTCTAGATCCACCTCGAACCATGTCACGCCTGCAGGCACCAACCAACGTTATTAGATAAACTATCCATGATTGTCATAAGAGCGTCTTTAATTTAGCATGCCTCAACAATTACATAGGGACCGAGTCTAATGTTCCTTTTATGAATCGGCCAAGTCTAATATGATCAACAAAAAGAAGGCTCATATTAGTTTTTTTTTTGCTAATTGGATGATGGAATTATAAATTCCTACTTAAGAAATTATTTATATGAGGGGCTTATGACTCACTTTGGCCCTAAGGAAGCTCTGTCCCTCGTAGCCTCTATTTTATTTTTGAGTTTGTACAAGGGGACAAAGACGATGAGGTTTAGCATAGAATACTCGAGCCCTCTAAAAAAAGGAAGCTCTCAATCCACACTTAGGCCTCAAGCCCATCTTCTTCGGGTGAAATAGAAGTTCTCGACTCACCATTTCTCCATTTCTCCATCTCTCTCATCCCCCCCTCACCGAATCCAAGTCCTCCACCACACCTTAGGACAATTAGGATAGATTCGGCGTGTCAACCTCGGCCCGAAGCCATGCTGCTTCCATTATGGTCCTAATTCCATGCATCGCTCTTCGTGGCCACCCACGCCGATCGTCACCCTCCACCTCAAGGAAAAGGGCATCTGTTTGATTTGGCTCCTCCATCGCCCCCCACACGAGCTCAACCCTAGCCGACACAATCCCCTCTACCACACCTGATGAGCGATACAAGCACTAGTCCCACGCCATAGTGCGAGAATGGAGCGGTAGAGAAAAGATAGGGGGAAAGTTGGAAAGGGAAAAAAAATTACTTGAGCCACTAGCTAATGGATCTCATGTGTCACAAACAAGTAGGAGCTAAGATTTAGAGGATACTGCTAAAATCATGTGGAGAAATTGAGCAAAGTTGAAGAGATTGTTCTATAATTTAGAAGTTATCGTTAGATTGTAAGGACAAATATAAAGTATTATGGCCTCCAACATTTACAAGGGAACGAGTACAAACTCGCTACACTTAAGATTGCACTTCGCCCATAAAGCATTTTTTCAACCGATTCACTAAGGGTCATTCTGAATAAGGCCTCCAACATTCATAAGAGAATGAGGACGAACTTGCTGCATTAAAACTGTACCTCACTAATAAGACATTTTTTTTCGGCCCAATCTTCCTTGTGGATAAGGCCTAGTAGTAAACAAGTCACTAGCAGTGTGTGGTATCATGCGTTTCTGTTGCCTGTTTTGCAAATGGGCAAATGGAAAATGGGCATGGCTAAGGGCACCACCAATGGAGGTTCTAATACAAATAAAGTGATAGATATAGAACGTTGGGACTACTATTCATACAATGCAAACTATCACTACTTGGTTTACAAAGAAACTTTTTTCTTTCATCATGCCTCACCTTTATTTCCTCTCCCTCTTCTTTTTTAGCATGTAACACATTCTTCTCTCCCAAACATATGTAGCTTTTATAAGTCATTATAACAAATATAAACCATCTACTTTTTTTATACGATACTATATGATACTTGGGGCTACTGCGTAGAAAAAGAGCGATTGGGAAGACCTAATGCCCAATGGATGTGATGCAAGAATGCGAGGCATCCGCAAACGACATGTGCGCAGTACGAGCATGTCCCAGTCGACTGCTGCGTACAGTGGCATTGTGCCAAGGACAGATCCATCAGCGAGCACCGAGCGGCAACAAGATGACAGTTGCCGTCCATGCTTGGGTGGGCCTGGGCCCCCCGTGTAGACAAAAGCCCAAGGGGCCAGGGCAATGTACGTGGATGGGAGCAGGAGGCACCCGATGTGATTTGTGATCGCTGACGAGACCAAGAACTGGTGATCCTGTGACGTTGCACGAAGAACCACGCATCGCGCAGCAGTCATATCGTTACTGATAGTACTAGTACTATACAGTATACTACCCGTACTGCTACTGATAATACATGCGTTGATGCAGGAGTAGTACGTACATACTGGTACCACACGGATTGCAGTGCAAAGCTCTCCAGCCAAATACTATGGTTTCTTGTTAAAATACCTGTCACATCGAATGTTCAGACATATACATGGAGTATTAAATATAGACTAATTACACAACTTGTGACTAAAGCCTAATTAGTCCATAATTTGACAGTCATAAATTATGTGCTAAAGATTAATTAGGCTTAAAAAATTGTCTCACAAATTAGTCTCCATCTATGTAATTGGTTTTGTAATTAATCTATATTTAATGCTCTTTATTAGTATCTAAATATTCGATATGACATAAATTTTAGGAACAACTAAAGAACCAAACATCCTCTAAATGCCTCTGTTCTAACCTCCACCATCAATTCGATCGAGATAAATAGAAATATAATGTAGATGACGTCCTGTGCTACCGAAGATCAGGATGGATTTTTCTTTATGGTGAAAGTAGAAAGATTTGATAGTAGTGCTAGTACTCTCTATGTTAAAAGAAATCATAATTACTAAGTTAAACAATTTCAAGTTTGATTAATTCTATTAAAAAATTATAAACATTTATGATACAAATAAATATAATTAGACCAATTATGAAATAGTATGTTCTAACAGTAAACATATTCAAAGATATAAACATTGATACTATTTTTGTAAACTTGGTCAAACTACAAAGTTGACTTGTTCAAAACCTAAAATTAGGTTCTTTTTAGGACGGAGAAAATACATGCATGGTAGCCAGCTAGGATGAAGATAAGGGTAGATGATGGTTTCCTGGACGACTGGATCAAGCTTAAATACTCCTTCCTTCGTGTAAACAATGCAATTCTATAATAGTCAATATATATTTATGATAATAAATAAATGTCATTAGATTCATTGAAATATACTATTCCATAATATTACATAATTTGTGTCATATTATTGACACTCTTCTCTAATAAATTTGATCAAATTCTAGATAATTTGTTTAAAAAATAAACAGAAATAGGTAGTCGATGCATAATTTGTCTAAAATAAACGTTGAGGAGGTTATACCTTACTTTGGGTAGCCTTCTGAGATAAAAGGTTCAATATCCATTAGAATCTTTTCTGCGCAAATGGGTTTTCGGGAGAGAGGATGCCCATATTTGGGTCGTGCCTTTACTGAGGAGACCCACACCTATTCAGGAGTTTTGTTGAAGAAGATACTCCTACACCCTACTGAAACTACTGTAGCGGGTATCTTTGCCTTGGCATGCAGGGCAAGGTCTGGTCTCTTTCAAAATGGGAACGATAAATTATTCAGCAGTCCTATGCAATACAGAGTATCTGACGATTGAGGGAATCAGGGAAACACAAGTGAGAAAGGGCAGGTCTTTGACCGAGAAGGGCCGTGGCTTATCTGACAAAATGTATCCTACTACTAATTAAGTTTGGCATGAATCTGGCCTAGAGTAGTTCAGAACTTGAGATCAGTTTGACTGGCATACGAATCAATGCAAACACTCTTGCATTGCAGTGGAAGACCGATCCAGTGAAATATTGCGATAGATAGATGAGTGTACCTTCCATCTTGGAGATGTGCTTGTGGACCTTCCTGGCGCAGCCGTTGCAGTGCATGGACACCCTCAGCTCCACCGTCTGCATCGATCATCATCAGGATCATACAGCAAGACCACCGATCGGTCGGAAAGAGAGAACACATCAGACAGACAGACAGACAGACCGAGAGAATGGTGCAGTGCATCGATCGGAGGCACATGGAGAAGGAACGGCGGAGCAACCATGCATGCAGAACAGTGGCGGTACCTTGGGTTGCAGATGGAAGCCGAGCGTCCCTGCCCCATCGACGATGTCCTTGAGCCGCAGCTGCCGGTGCCGCTGCTGGTGGTGGTCGCTCGCCGTCACCAGCGCCGCCCTCTGGACGGCCTCCTCGTCGTCGTCCTCCAGCGCGCGGACGCAGACGCAGGTGCTCGTGCACAGGGACAAGGAGAAGCAGTCCAGCAGCACCCTGCCGATGCGCGGCCGCCTCATCGCCGCTCTCTCTGTGTGTGTGCCGCCTCAAGCAACAAAGCAAAGGCGGCGTACCGACTGCCGATTGATCTCTTTCTTAAAAAGGAGCTGGGGAGGCAGTGTTCTCCTTCTCCATGCGATTCTCTGTCGTCGAGATCTAGGCAATAGTTATGTCCATGGTAAATGAAGGCCTGCCGGTACACACTAGCTACACAGTCGCCATGGGGCGCCAGCGCCAAACTACCTAGTGTTCTGGCCGTGGCAACTGGCAAGGGATCGGCGGGCTGCAGGTACACGAGGGAGCAGTAGGGAGACCTACACCTACCCCTAGCTACCATGCAGTACGTACGCACGTACTACTACCACCAACACTGCCGGCCGGCTCAGTGTCAGTGGTAGGGCGGGGCTCGACGGCTCGTACCTCTCGTTCAAATACACTCTACGTACCTCAAGAGCAGCTTAATCACGAGCAGAGGATTAAGGATGACAGCTATTTCTGCAGCTAGGTAGCGGGGACAGGCTGCCGATCCCTCCATGTGACAATGTGCTTCCACTACACCAAGAGCGCATCTCAAATCGCAATAGTTGGTTTCCATCATGCATGCATTCACGGCCTGGAAAATGTACTCGATCGATCCATCGGAGACGCGCTAGCTAGATGACAGCGGCTCAATCATTGAGGCTCTTTCTAATAAAGATCATAATCATGCCGGCGGTCGGCGGACGACAGTAGTGTTGCCAACTGGCTAGCCTGAGCGATTTCCAAAGATTCACAAGGACTGTGTGTTTGAAATGGCGCTAACAATGGGCCTGGGCGCCGCGTATATACATGTGTCCTGTCTACTCCATTCTCTGGGATAGGTTATATTCCGGTCCTTTGGTTGAGATCGGCACGGTGTGGGATCGTAGGACAGGGTACTGCATCTGCATGGCAATGGACCAACACGGGACACTGGGCATACCACGAATAATAATTTTTTAACGATTAATTGTAAATCTAGAAGCTGTTAATCAAAAAAGTGTGGATATAGCATTCTGTCCACCACTGGGAAGCCGACAAGGGTCTTGTCACCAGTCCATCAGCCGAGAGGGATGACGTGGCAGCCGACGGCGAGGCTGGTTTTGATAGCATACCTGTCGGCATCTGGAGAGCCGACATGTCCTGTCGGCTTTGGGAGTGCCGACAAGCCTATAGGCTCTCGAGGAGCCAACAAGTCTGTGGCATGTGTGGTAGGTAGCTAAGATAAGTAGTCCCATCACTAATCCTAACATGTCTTAAGGAAAAGTAAACAAATCACGATTTGCAAAGGCGCTGCGGAGAGAGAGAGAGAGAGAGCGCGAGCTAGGGGAAGGAGGAAGACGCGGTGGTTAGGTATTTTGGGACCTATCGGCTATCGGACAGCCGACAGATATTTATCAGCCAGCGGATAGCCGCGGCCCACTTAACCCACTTTGGAGCCTCGTCGGCTTTTGGACGGCCGATGGAATACTATCGGCACTCTAGATGCCGATAGGCTTCTGTGTTCTGATTGCAGTAATGCAAGGCAGTGCCTGAGAACGGACCAGGACCTGGACCAGGACCAGAAATTGATCCATGCCCCCGTGACGATAATAAGTTTACTGTTATATTCTCAGAGCCATCGGACACTCGTAGGCCCTGTTTTGATCACGACATTGTTTCTGAAACACTGTTTTTCCTCTACAAATTTCTGTAAAATTCCAACGTTCCAAGGAGAAGCTAAATTTATAATTATTACTGCGTTCCAAAGGAGGCTATAATTGATTTGTAATGACCACGGTACACATCACTCCTGTGCAAATCGACAAGGTATAGCACTTTTTTTTTTTTTTTTTTTTTTTTTTTTTGCGTGGAAAAGTTGGTAGAGATCGTTCGGAAAGTTGCGGCAGTGCGATGGGTTGTGCACTGGCGCCTCCGATGCACACGGTCTTTGAATGCAAAGGCCCTGATCTGCCAACATCCAAAGCAAGATTCACCACCATAACAAAATCATGCTCCTAGTATGTTATATTAACTACCAAGACCGTACCATTGTCATGGGCAATTATATCTTCAACACGGTGGATCAGATAACAAGTTTACAGGATCTTCGTCATAAATATAACGGATGCAAGTCAGCCGAGTACCAAAGAGCTAAAGGCAGAGGCACAGAAGCAAGCGCACACCCAAGTACACAGACTGATGTACAATGGAACACGAGCTTTACAGTACGGAGCAGTCTCACGATTTCCATCAAGACCTTCACACTTATGGACTGTATGCAATATGCTGCGACGACGTCTGATATTGTGGTGACGTCGAGTACCATGTAAATCTCACCTGACTGACAATGTAAACACACCAGGTCACGCAACCGTTCGCTTGCATAGCAAGGACCAAGAATACAAACACTGGAAATGCCGACAAACTCACCTAATAATTGTAACAACACCAGCCCGGCAGAATAATCACAGCAAACGACCATAGTGATGGTTTGAACATCTTCAACTGTCAAACCTGCACATGGGCAAGTCCAGATCTTGTTGGCACGACCAACAGTGTGGAAAATAAGCACTGAAACGAGATCTAGGCTAGTTATTACAATATTCCCTCCAGCCAATAATACTTGGCGTTTCTGGCAGGGAAAACAACTTAGCTTTTTTTTTTTTCCTGTCTGAAACGTCAACAAACCATCACTAGAGGTAATATCTACACTAATGAGAATATTTTCCAAACCAGGTTCTTCACTGCTTCACTCAGACTTTAACTTTGAGCAGAGAAAAGATACAAGAGTCAAACCATAAAGGGTCTGAGGATCTGCAATAGGAGAAGTGTATGTACCTGGCATTTTTTGGGTTACAAGATAGCCCAAAGTGCTAGACATCGGACAGTGAAATGTTGCAAGGACTTGGTAAGGCCTGGGTCTCTTGCACAGGTCTTACTTTGGATCCAAAGCTCCAATGAGTCCTCACTGGTTACTATCATCACTATGTTCATTGGCCAAAGTTCATCTCCGAGTATCTTTAGCAAAAAGTGGAATGATGTCAACACATACTATCTATAAATTAATGCAGCAGAGCAGAAATTAGTATATCAATGTTATTTTTTCAACATACCGACGAGGTTTATTTTGGCGTTGAGTTCTTTCATCACTTGCAACCTCTGCACAAAGGAAAAGGTGTCAAAACACTTCTAGGACGTAAACTACATAAGCAAGGCAAAGCTCCTAACATAAATGAAAATAGAAATGACAATTAGAGTAAAAGAGAATCAAGATCTACCTGTTATTTCTTGGGACTTCGACAGAGAAGAAGCATTATTTGCACTAGGTTCTCTGCATACAGGAGATAGGAGAATAATTCAACCTACTTTAATAACACATGCAATTGATGAAAACAAAAAATTCGATATCGCACTATAGGCCAACATACCTAATAGAAACTGATGAAGATGCTTGTTCAGATGGTCGAGAGTAATAACTTCCATCAATGGCTATATAAGGTGAACCATAAGGTGCTCCTAGAGCTCCAGAGGCACCAGTCAATATCGGTAGCCTAATGTCATTAGAATACCAAAGGAAGGGAGTTAGGTACTTAAGTACAAGCTAATTGTGAATACAATACTGGCACATTCAACTGATAAATACAAGAGTAGCACTCAGTCCAAACAAGTAGTATGCAGCTGCATATTATTATTATAAGAGTTGCTTTACTTCACATGGTTATTAATGTCAATGCATACTCTCCATAAACATACCAACAGCAGAATGGCAACTTAATACAATACCACATTGCACCAATTATAGAAAACAAGACAAATGTGCTTTCAAAAGGTCCTGATTTAAACAAGTCCTTACCAGGTCATCTCAGAATTATTGAGACCAACTTGTTGTTGAGACACAAATCCTGGCAGAGCCATACCAATTGAAGGAACACCACGCCCAACTGGTCGTTGACCTCCAAACTGCATAACTGTACCAAAAAAAGAGTTGATGATTAAATTTAAAGCATATGCAGGCTAAAGCAAGTACAAAGAGGAGGTAATAAGCAACTGAATGCTTGTATAATAGTGTATTCACACTAAAAATAATACTGCCCATTTACCAGGGGACTGGTAACCTTGAATGCAACATGACAGTATGGCATTGAATCCAATTTTTTTAATAAAAAAAACCAAATAACAGCCACCTAAAATATGTAGCTAAAGTTTTTTTTTAACAAAAATGTGTAGCTTCCTGGGTCAGAAACTCTGTTCAGTTACTTCACTTAACATGACAGGATTGCAAACTCTGTTCGGTTACCTTCTTCACTAGTTTATGGTAAGTTTCAAAATAGTTTATTTCTTTGATATGCTTCACAGAGCATGTTACTGAACTCACATTTTACTGAGTGATGATACAAACCTGGCAGCAATGCTGGGGTACCATGGAAATTTTGATCACCAAGTGTAATGCCCATTGCACCTGTAGCCCCAAGAACATGAGCCCCACCATAGAGAAACGAAGAACGCTCTTGTCCTTGGTCATCAGGTTGTCCCTTAACTGTTAACCGAGAATCAAATTTGTTTGATCCCCTAGGTGAAGAAATTTCAGCGTCATCACCCAAAGTAGTTGATGTAGGTTGTGCAGGTGATATTTTACTGCTATTGCTGAATCTTGCACCAAACATCTGGGCAGGCATCCTGGGTGCAGATCGTGTAGGGGATTGAACTGGGTTTTGTTGAACAAGTGGATGCGCAGGCTGGCCATAGTCTCTATTGACTTGATTAGTGGCTAAAGAAAATGGACCATTTGATGATGATGCAGCTGGAAGCAGTGCAGGTCTATTCATACCATTCATAGCAGCTGCAGCATTCCCAACTGATGGTACAAAGGCCTTCCCTCTCAGTAGGTTATTACTAAGTTGTGCATTCCCTCCTTGACCAACTGGGAGCTCTTGATTGGATGACCTCGCAGGATAAAATGGTGGTGAAGCTGAATTCAAGCTTGATGCAACAGTCTGCTTAATAGGAAGGACTTGTTCAAGCCGCGAATTTGATCCTTGAGTTTGGTCTTTTCCCAAGTTTGCATTTGACGAAGTGTCTTCAAGACTCTGAGATCTGAAATGTGATAACAAAAACAATTCTGATATATTAGTTATATATCTCAGAAGAGAAGGTGCGAAGACATAAGATCGCATAAAGAAAGACTTCCACTCACTTGGTATTTTGCTCTGAAGATACATCAGTGGTACTTTTCAAGCGTGGTTGGTAACGCTTGGAGCCTCTTCCTCGAACTACTCTTGGTGCATTCTTTTGACTCTTAGCATCACCATAGTAAGTGCGAGATTCATTTGGGACAGTATCATAACTTTTAGCATCATCATAGTGATCACGAGATGGTTTTGGAACTCTATTCTTCCCATTAGAGTATGAAGAATGACGGGTATTCTTGGTGTTATCATGGTATGCATGAGATTCCTTTGGAACATAGCTATAGTTCTTGCTACCATCATGATAGTATGCTCGAGATCTGTTGCCTCTGAAGTTGCCACGGCTAATGCCACGAGTTCTACCACCTTGTCCACCACCACGTCCTCTAAAGCCACCTCCCTGCTTTCTTTTTGGCTGAAAGTACAGTTGAAGAACCAGTAACATGTTAAGAAAGGAAGATGCATCCATAAAAACAAAACAATAAAATGCATGGTTGGTCCTTAAACTTGTCCTGCAGTGTCATCTAGATCCCTATTTCTCTTAAAATGCACATCCATGTCCCTAAATTTTATGTGGTTCACTTGAGGTACAAATTACCCTAATCAGCAAGTCCTTACATAATAGCACTCTAATATGGAGCCCAAGATGCCCCCTACACCCCACGCTCTACTATGTGCTCATGCCATCACCCTTGTGCACATTTGTATATATTGCAATTTAGGTAATGCATTTGCATGTTATATAAGCAATTCTATGCTAATTAGAGTAATTTGGACTTCAATTGGGACACTAAACAAATTAGGGACCTACTAGATGACACTGCTGGACAAATTAAGTACGGCAAGAAAACATTAACTTACATTGCCACCATGAAAATCGTGCAGATCCATCTCATCAAATCTGTCATGGACCCAGGCTTGCTCATCTTTAGGACTCCACAACCTTCTACTGTTCACCATTCTCCTACATGGGCAATACTGAAACATTAGACAGCAATCAAAACCTCAAATCATAAATAAACGATCTTAAATATGAAGCTTATGTGACAGAGCATCACAATAACATTCTTAATATAAAGGACATCCATGTAAAAAAAACTAAGGTTCTGTATTCTGACTGAGTTCAGTACAGAGTCAAATCACTAATCAGGCCATTTTTTCTATTAAAAAAGAAGCTGCAATGCATGCAGTTTAATTTTTAAAAATATAACAATAAATAATATAATATAATATATACAAATTCCACAAGCAAAATAATGTAAGTCAACTACTCCCTCTGTCTAACTCTACCAGAAACCTTTTTGAAGCTCCCATCCAGTACTTCATTTATATTATCATCTTCTATACTCCCTGTGCTAGAAAGATGCATGATATCTATATCTCCAATGGTTGAGATAGCAAGCTACCTTCCATACCATGCTTCAAATCCCACTTGCCCTGTTTCATAGTTATTCTTGTCTGTTTTCATGCTAACAATGGGTCACTATCCTCTTTTTTTGAGGGAAAATTGCAGTATGCACTTGAATTTTGTTGCCCCATTCACTGCTCTTTAATGCAGTGCATTATGCACTCAGCTTTTTTGCTCCGGGTTCTTTATATGAGGGAAAATTTTGCTCCATGTTACACAAGTAACGGCCATGCATGCAAGTTCTAGATGCATCGTTATTCTAGAGTACAAAGAATAGAATAACCGTTTCCATCTACCAAGTAAATGAGTGAAAAAAATAGATAAATCAGCTCTGCCATAAGTTTTTTTAGCTATTGATTCACTATAATAACATTAGGTGGAATACTTTGGTATTTTCACAGTATTATTCATTAGTCAACGTACCAATGTCCTTTGGTAACCATAGATGGAAGGAGCTGAAAACAGAATCCCATCAACGGGCTCCAATTAACTGCATATAAACTAGACCTACAATGGACAGTCAAAAACTAGACCTACAATGCAACTAAAGTAGACTAACAAATGCATGTCTATGGTCCAATTCTCATAACACTTGCGAAATCAACAGCAGGATAAGCAACAAAGTGGAGAAGGAAAGGCTCTACCTTTGGCGCCCGCGGCCACGCCCACGGCCACGGCCCTCCTGGAAGCGGTCGTCGTGCATGTAGAAGGCGCCGGTCGTCGGAACGGCGTAGGGCTCGTTCCCCTTCTTCTCCTCCTCTTCATCCCCTGGCGCTGCCTCACCCACCTTTTCAACTTCCCCATCCCCCGCCGCCTGGCCCCCCTCCTGCCCCGCACCGGCAACCGCCTCGGCAGCCACCCGCACTCTGCCGTCCCCTGCTTCGAACCCCCCGTACTCCTCCTCCTCGTATTCCTCGTACTCCTCCTCGCCTTCCTCGTACGCGCCCTCCTCGTCGTACACCTCGGCGGCGCCCTGCCCGTCGGAATCTGCGTCGGATCCGGCCTTCCTACGCCTTATGGGCGTCCCTCCGTCCTCATTCTCGTCCTCTTCCTCGTCGTCGCTCGCAGCGTCGCGGCGCCGCAACGCGGAGAGGGGCGCGTCGTCGAGGTCGCTCTCGTACTCCTCTTCCTCCTCAGCCTCCGGCTTCTCCTTGTCGGCCATTGGGGCGAGCCGACAGATCGCGTGTCGGATCAGGCGAATCCGGCGAGAGAATTTAGGGCTCGGGGACGGATTTCGACGGAATTTGGAAGGTTCGAGAGGCTTTTCTGCTTCTGCGGGAGGATTGCTTATCCACGGGAGGAGAGGTTGGATTGAGATTATAAAAAAGATTTTAAAACCATTGGAGTGTCCAAATCCTCGATTTGAAGGTGTCCGGAAAGGACACTGGCAGTGCGGTCCACGTTACGCACTGCATGTGGGCCCTGGTGACTGGTTTCTTTTAAGGCTTTTTGTCGAATAGGATTCTGCCTGCGAAAGCACTTCGGCCCGCTTTGTGTTGCTATAGTTGTCTTTGTGTTGCTACTATAGTTGTAGTTGGTTTTGATTTTTTAGTTTGGGTTCAATTCAAATTGTATAATTCATCATGATGGGAAGAATTATGCTCTCACTCCGCTGACTTCTGTTTTTCCCCAAAACAGAATAAGATATAGACACACTAATATATACTCACCCAAGCAAAGGTAGTACATATCTCTGTTCTATGCAAGGCTCCGTTCGGCTTGCTAAATCTTGGCTGAAATTAGCTGAAAACTACTGTGTTTTGGCTGAAATGTTGTAAAAGAAAACACTGTTCCGACTGAAAAAAAAAGTCGAACAAGCCGGATATGGAATAAGCCGAACGGGGCCGGTTCGATGATCAGGTTGGAAAGTCTCATAATAAGGCTAATGAAATCAACACAAATGCTTTGTCATCCACAATCACGTTACCTTCCACTAAAAATATATATTTTATTATAAAAACAATGATTAAACACGTAAAATTCAGTGAAACTGAAAAGGTACCTTCTGCATGAGAGTCGCAAAGTCCTAATCAAATTGTAACACGAAGTTTGGCTTTCTTAGTTTGAAAATTCTAATTTACCCATCATAAAACTTTTTTTTTTGCGAGCTCAAGGTTCAAGACCTCAATCTTGTAGTAGGTATGTTTACATTTTTCTACATTTATTCAACTAGCAAACGTACCGTGCGTTGCAACGAAATCTAATACGTGCTGAAATAAGATATCATATCATTGTTGGACATGAGTGACTTGTAGCACGGGGCACGAGTTTGAGTCAAAAATTAAATTAACTTAGTGGTAAAAATCTTTGTTTCTTAAGGAGTGAAAGATTAAAATGGTTGTGATATCTTATTTATTGTTTGTTTTTTACTTTTATTATATTTATTAGAATACAAAAACTAGGTGGAGAAAACCACAAAAAACAATGAAAACAAAATCAGAAAAGGCGAGCAAGTATAAAAAATAACCACGAGAAGAAAAATCTGAACATACTTGAAGTGGAGTAAAAAACGGTCATAATAAAAACTAGAACGTGCTCTAGAAAATAGCTACGGAAAAAAATCAGAACATAATCAGAGCCAAGTGAGAAACGTACAAATGAGAACATAAAGAAAAACGTATTCGGAGAAAGTAAAACGGACAAACCAAAAAAATAGTGAAAAAAGAATAGAAAAGGAACAAAACAAAGAAATTCTACCATTTCCTCTTTATTAGATTTATATTCTATATTTTTTATTTGGATTAAGATTCCTATTCAGGTTACCCGCAATCGTAGAGATCTAATTGGATTAAGATTGTTAGCTGTCCATATTTTTATATTTTTTCTATTTGATTAAGATTCCCATCCAGGTTACCCGGAATTGAAGAGATCTCAATAGAATGGGCCGAACGAAAAATAGAGTGGAAAGAAATTTTGGCTTTTTATTATTATAGCAAAATTGTCGGTGCGTTGCAATGGGACGCACGTCTTGAAATGGTCCTAGATAATTTATAGCGTAAAGAATTAATGATCACATCATGCATTTTCAATTAGTTGTGTGATTCTATTCTATATCATAGTTGGACAAGTGTTACTCATATTTCATACTCATGTTGTCAATCCCTGAATGCCCGTGCATCGCAACTGGGTTTATATCCTGTGTCATCGTTCTAATGCACTTTAGAATTAGACTATATAGGTTGGTTGGACATACGCTATCCAATTCGTATGAGTACGGCTCGTAAGTTTAAGACAATTAAATAATTAAGATTTTAATCTCTAATTTATCATATATTACTAACCCTTAGTGAACTGTATACGAAAGTGACGGGCGGCGGTTAGTAGACAGACGAAGCTAAAAGGAAACACACAAAAAAGCTCGTGCTTCCATTATTTTTATCTTTTTTCCTTTTCTTTTTTCTTCTTTTATATTTTATTATTTACTACTCCTTTTCCTTATCCCGTCGCTCCCATCCCCTGGATCTCACGGCTCGCGCACCACGGTCTCTCTTTCTTCTTCGCCGCTCCATCGCGCCCGCTCAGCCAACTACCACCGCCCCGCACCTCCCGTCGCGTCTATTCTATATTTTTATTTGGATTAAGATTCATATTCAAGTTACTTAAAATCGTAGAGATCTAATTAGATTAAGATAGTTAGTTGTTCATATTCTTATATTTTTTTATTTGATTAATATTCCTATCCAGGTTATGTGGAATCGGATGGGCTGGACGAAAAATAAGGTGGAGAAAATTTTAGCTTTTTATTATTATATAGGTATAGATAGATATACTTATGAGGTGTGCATACACATTTATAAACATCTGGCTTTGTATTATGTCGTGTCAACTCCGGTCCTGAGATCTAGATTAGGAGTGTAATATGTAGACTAAACTAATTAGTTTAAAGGTTATAATTTTATTGATCTAGGCTACAAACAAAATAATTCATCTAAATGCTCTCGTTGTAGTACCTCTATCTCTATATTCATAACTATTCCTTCCTTGTTTTGTTTTTTTCTTAGTATATTTTATGCTACGCTCCTAAATACAGTATATGATAACTACATATCTATCTAGACAAGTCAAAAGTATCTATAATTTAAAACGAGACGAGAGGAGTACTGAACATGGCCTAATAAAGTAGCATTTTCAATCGGTATCTGAATTTTTGAAAGTCGGTACTTCAACGAAACAATAACACAAAGCTTGCCCTCGTTTAGTTCGGCCGGAATCGGTATTTGCACAGTGTTTGATGTGACGACAAATATTGTAGTAATATCGTTTGTATTTGTGAATTATTGTCCAAACATTGACTAATTAGGCTCAAAAGATTCGTCTCGCAAAGTTCAACCAAACTGTGCAATTAGTTTTTGATTTATCTACATTTAGTACTCCATACATGTACCGTAAGTTTGATGTGACGCTAAATCTTCTTTTTGCATAGTGACAAAGTTATAGGAATTTAGGGAACTAAACACCGCCTCGGTAACAACGGAAGAGTCAATCAATCTAAATAAGTGCGACTGTCTTCAAAAGTCAATTTTATTTCTAGAATTAACAATGTATACCCGTTTCCGTTACATTGACCAAGGACCGGGTGTAATCAACTCGTGCGAACACATGGCATTCCAGATGGAATTGGTCTCCTCCATGCCTCGTCCTCTTCTTTTTTGCAAGAGCACGGCATGAATCCCGATGCTTCTCTTCTAAACTCGTGAGCGTAGAATGACTGTGCAGCACCGTTCCCATTTCGTTATGCGATATACCGATACTGTCCTTTGGCAGTGGTGACACGAATTGCCGAATTTGATTGAATCCTCTTCATGGCCGCTTCGTCTTCGTTGTTAGTATAATTTACCTATTCATTCACAAGTTGCTTAGCCGGAAAGTCACTGATGATGATCCACAAGATCACTACACCAAACACCATGATGTCTGCCTCCATAGTGTACATCACTACTTACATTCTTTTGGGTTGTTGGGCTAATAAGTCAGCGGATGCACTGTATCATGACTAATAAGTCAGGTTAATAAGTTGAAGCAAACAGGGATTTTGGTAAATCTGCAATCAGTCATGTACTCGCGTCCTCCAGCTCTGGAATTCCACGGGTTCTTCAATCACACGAGGGCATTTTAGTAATCAGCCATGTTCTCGGCTCCCAGTCCCCGCACAGGTAAGCACACACGGCCGTGGCGTGCTGGACCGGTGCACGGCCAGACCGGCGGATGGTCGGGCACGTCAGCCGCCAGCTAGGCGACCAACTCTTCAAAACCCCGGTCTTTCTCTCAAGCTCTGGTCTTTGCCAAGAACAGCAAGGAGCAAAGCTCCCAAGCCGTTCAATCTCCAGAGCATTTTCCTCTCGTCCTTCTCCAATCCACTCGTCGGCCATCTCCACAGGCTCCCCTCGGTTCTTGCAGCTGGGTTTTGCTTCCGGAGCCTGCGAGCCGCGGGATTTCGACAGGGGTCGGCGTCGGCCATCCGATGGGGAGCAGGGTGAAGGAGGATGAGAGGAACGAGAAGATCATCCGGGGCCTGCTCAAACTCCCTGGCAACCGCCGCTGCATCAACTGCAACAGCCTGGTGAGCTCCGTTCTCAGAAATGTTTCAGCTTTCTGTGAACAAACCCCACACCGGAGAAGGAGACGGAGACGGGGACGTAGCTTGGCTGGGATTTGGAGACGACCCGTTGTTTATTGTTGCTGGTTGCTCATAGGATGGTTCGTTGAGATTGGGACCTATTGGTGATTTCTCTGGTCCGTAGTTCGAGGGTGGTTGTCTCTTGTCTGATGTCTTCGTATGTTGTTCGTTCTCCCCCCACTTGACACCGATTTCTAGATTCAGTAAAGAAAATCAGGATCATGTGCCGAAACTGATTATTATATCTTACATAGGAGTACACAATATGCAATACTTTCATACATATATGAATTCGTATAGGCAAAATAAATAGATAAATAAATAATATGAAACCAAGACCCTAAATAGGTGGAAATTTGAGACAGGGGTCCAATTTCAGACAGAAACACGGACGACCAAATTCAGGTGGGGTTCCTTGTGCAAAACTATGTGACAGTTGATAGTTGTAAATATTTAATTTAGGTGGCACAGCTTGGCTCTAGGCACATGTACTGACCCTAACCTGTTTACCAATATATCCTTGATAAGCATTTTTCATTAACAGGGACCACAATATGTATGCACGTTTATCCTTGATGTGAAAACACATGATATATATATTCCTTTGTTAACCCAAAAGTATTCTTCATTAACAGGGACCACAATATGTATGCACAAGCTTCTCTACTTTCATCTGCACTAATTGCAGCGGGATACAGTAAGTGATGACCATATTGTTGTTTTTCTCTTTAAAACCGCAGCAACTTTGCTTGTTTGGCTATATTACAGTTGTGAACTTCTCCCTAGAAGTGATAAACTTCTGATCAGTGCCTGCCCATTTCTGAATTGTGACATTTTACAGCCGAGAGTTCAGTCATCGTGTAAAATCAGTATCAATGGCTAAATTCACTTCTCAAGAAGTTTCAGCACTTCAGGAAGGGGGCAACGAGGTTCGCCTAATATCTTATTTATAATTTAGAAAGTCTTGTGATCTTTACAGTTACCTTTTACTTTATACCATATGTTCTCTTTCTTCCAGCGTGCTAAGGAAATTTATTTCAAGCATTGGGACTTGCAAGGCCCTGTTATTGACAGTAGGTTAGTCATCTAGTCCTGTTCATTATTTTTACGCATATTGTAGTTGCACACTTGAAGTTTGATTGATGTGTTTTCACTTCTAGTGATGTACATAGACTCAGAAATTTCATCAAGAATGTATATGTTGAACGGAGATATTCAAACCAAAGAAATGGCGAACATTTACCACAAGCAAAGGTAGCTATCTGAACTCGTGCTCAGTGATCACCGATAGACATCTATGCAGTAAACTAGTATCCACAATCTCTTCACTGCCCAGAATTTTTTAACCCATTAAACATCTGAAAGATCCAGGGTAATCAGGACTCTTATGGAAATAGCAACGCAGATTCATCTCGAGGAGTTTTAAGAAGTGCATATGTTGGAACTTATGAAGATAATCATGATCTAAAGCGCACCACAGAAAGTCTCTCGGAAAATCAAAACAAATCTAATGTACATCCAGTGGGTACAGTAGACCAAAACAATAGTTCTACAATGGCAAGAGAAAAGGTCGACCTTAGAAGCCATCTGCATCCAGATGATCTCTTGAAAACTGATGGAAAGTCAGAAAATAATCAGAAGATTGTGATCCCAGCAGCTTCTTCTGCAGTACAAGCTTCCAAAGAAGTAAATAGTAAAAAGGCAGTTCTGCCCATCAAACTTCCTGATCCTCCTAGATCTCAGAAAGCAACAGCATCTAATACCTCTACTGAAGCACAGGTGACGCAGTTCTTATAAGCTTAGGTTATTTTTTATTCTGCATTATCTAGTCCATATTGTTACTCTTTTCCTCTTTTCATGGATCCAACTATTTATTTATGTTTACTTAGGTATGCCAAAGATAGATCAAAATCCAGTAATCTAGATTAAATGTTTGATCACAAGCTTGCAATAGAAAACAATAGAGGTGCTTCACGGCATATAACCAACGTTCTACTCCTAGTTGTTAAGGCGTCGCTATACCGACGCCATATCGTCGCCATATCGCCGTGGCGTTTTTCTGGCTCTCGCCACGGCGACGCCACGGCTCCGGCGTGTATGGCGTCCGCCATAGCGCCGTGGCGTCCCCGTGGCACCTATTTGGCGTCCTGTGGCGCCTTTGTGCGCTGTGGCGGGCGCAATAGACGGTGAGGGTGAGGGTGAGGCCGAGTGGCCGATTGGAGCCCTCCGAGACCGAGCCCGAGACGCTGCTCGCCGGGCTCTGGCCAAAGGGACGCCGCAGCCAGGCTGCTCGACGGCGGCGCGCTCACCCGCTGGGGAGCGCGCTCGCCGGCGAGGGGGCCGACGACGGCGCCGAGTCGTCTGCTCGCTCACGCTCGCTCTCGCTCGGGCTCCGCGCGACTGAGAGAGAGAAGGGGAGGAGTAGAATGGGAGTTAGGGTTTCGGCTGACGCGGCTGGCCGGGCCTTTTTGTTCGGGCGAGACGGCCGGGTGACCGTCGGATGCGATCCGACGGCGGAGAGCGGCCGGGCCGTTTCGCGGCCCAGGCGGGCGCGCGCGGCCGCAGCACTTTGCCGGCCCAGGCCCACGTTGCGGCCTGGGTGCGGCCGGGCGCCGCGCAGAGGTGTGGGCCGAGCCGAATTGCCGGTTTTGGGCCCAGTAACAGTAAAGAATGAGCCCGGTTTGAGAGATGAGAGAGTTCTATGTCTTTTGTGCTACATTTACATTGCTATTTTGATTTGCTAATATTGTAGACTATACCTTTTAAGCTACATTTGCATTACCATTTGTCAATATAATTTCCTAATATCCTAGACTATAATGTATGTATTCGCCACGCCGATGTGTGTATGGCGTCGCCACGCCACCGCCATAGACGCTGTAAAGGTGTGAAGGTGGTGGGTCGCCGCGCCTCGCCACGCCGCCGTAAAAACTATGGTTCTACTAGTTTGTTTAGCGTGCATTTGCTCCTTTGGTGCATGATTGCATCTTCTTACCTTGCTTTATATGGATCTAATTTGATGAAATAGACTTAGGTGTCACGTAAGAGGTTCTCAGCTTATATATCTTCTTTACTACTCCCTCCGTTCTACAATATTTGTCCATGGTCTTGGTACAAAACGTTCCACAATACTTGTTCTGTTGTTCATTGAGGATATTAAGGATGTAGTTACGGCAGTAGTTTCCTCCCTACCCCTAATTAAGTGCTCCAATAGAAATGAAGTGGCTGAATTATTACTTTTGGTAGGGGTATGGATGGTCATTTCACATTGGTTTTCTCTTAAAACTTGTACTTCATTTATTATACATTCCTTATTTGATATAGTACCTCTGTTTTTTTTAAAAAAAATAGAACAACAGGCAATCCCTTGGTTTCTCAGGCCCGTTGATTCTGCCCTTGCCAATTTATCCTTAATGGATAAAGTTTAATTTTTGCAGAAATCATCATCTTCGAGGACTGACGATCCCAGCCCTGCAACCTTGAAGGATGCTAAAAACTATATGTCAAAAAATCTGATTGACTTCGATTCAGAACTGGAACCTCCTCAAGGTGTTGCTCAGACTGATATGCAGAAGGGCTCTTTACCTGCAACCGATGTTGGTTGGGCAACTTTTGATGATGTTGCTCCCAGAAAAACTACAACCATGCTTTCAACTTCCAGTACTAATTCTGTGGAGGGTCCAATGCTACAGATCCCTAATTTGGCATCAGCATCACAAATTAGATTTTCAAATGCCAAGTCCTTGTCTTTTTCCCCAGCAAATCATGGAACTCAACTGAACCAACATAATTTCTCTCCTGTCAATACTGTCCAGTACAACGATACTCTGTTGAACAGGGCTACTAGTGCTCCAGTTCATAGCCAGGTTAGTATTGTCCTTCTGTTAGAAGACACCAGCTTTTCAGGTGACAAATATTTTAAAATTGTTCCCTTGCATGCATTTTTTAGTTATGGAGAGCTGCATCACCTACACTAACAACACAATGGGGAAGTATTCTTCCTGCTAATCAGGGTTCAAATATATTAATAGGAACTCATGATCCGGCTATAGTATCAGCATCCCAGCAACCTGCTGCTGATGCCACATCTAATGGTAGAAAGGCACTTCCAGAGGTAATGGGGGGTGGGTGCCTCAACAATTATTGTTTGTGCTCCCATTATTCTTTTTCTTGTACGCCTTTTGTTCTAAAATCAGGAAATTTTGTAGGATATTTTTACAATGAGCTATCGTCCAGTATCTTCAGCCTGGAACTGGCAACAAAATCCCCGTGTACATATGCAATACGGACAATATCGGATGCATAATCCTGTTGGGATTGTAAATGTACGTGTTGTGATGTCATTTCAATCAGTATCACATTAAGCTTACTATTTCTCTTTCCGTAGTTCTTTCTTGTTGCTTTACACACAACTCAGCTTGCCCATCCATACCCAGTAAATCCTGTTAACTTGGAAGGAGGGCCTGCATCAGCTCATGCCTATACCAGAGTACTGAGAATCTACCTCCTGTACTAGTAATAATATGTAAAATGCCAATAAAATTAGATGGTTGAAATGCTCTGGATTTATACAACAATATCAAACCTAACTTATGTACTTTTATATTCAAGTGCGCTATCTATCTGTGTCATTTTCTATCTTTCAAAAAAATATCTGTGACATTTTCTATAAGTTCATTGTTCCTGGCAATGAAGAAATGCAATTTCCAATTTTCAAGAACTAATTTAAGCTTCACTTTTTTTAAATAGCTGACTTCTTGTTGCCTGTGTGCAGTTCCCTTCTTTGACTTCTATGCAAGAAGCATTACCAAATCTGGGCAGTACCGCATTATTGTCGCGCGCTCCAGGTATGGGATCTCTTGGCAAGTTCTGCTCCTCCCAATGATGGAGGACAGCAGTAGCTCCTACTCTCTTGGCTTCACATAATCTCTTTTGTTAAAATGATTTAATTACAGATCATCAATACATGGTTCAGCAACATGCAGTTCAAGTACAGAATAATACTTTCCCCACTGGGTAACACCCTCTCCCTCCCAATAATTCTGAACTTTCTGTGGTTTTTATTACTGAAACCGCATCCCTGAGCGTGGCCACTAATCCTTCCACTGTTATATGTTCTTCAGAGGGATCGCCACAACTGCCAACGCATATGGCTTACCTCCGATGGATCAACGTTTGGCTGCTCAAAATATACAGGCCATGAACCAAAGTTCTTTACCCCGAGTTGGCGCAAACCCGTTTGCTTAGTCTGTTACCCCAGTTCTGTCGTTGTATTATTGTATATAGTTTTAGCATTTGATGCTACGTTTTGTCGTGAGAAGATGCTAGTGGAATAATGTAGAGGATCAAGCAGACTCGCAAGAAATGCCTGACCAGTTTTGTGTATAGGATTTTATTTTCGTTATAAAAGATGTTACCCTGTTCGCTTGCTCCACCTCCGTCATTCCTCCACCTTGTCATCCCTCCTAGATGCACCGCTTTGCACGTGGTGCCTGTGATTGGACAGGCTGCAACCTCTGCTGTGAACAGCCACCTGGTTTGGAATTGGAATAGCAGCTCAAGGGGAGGTTTGCGTCATTGTGTGTTGCGGGCTTGCGGCAGAGATGGAGATGGGGGCAGCCGGGGCAGTGGTGGTGGTGGGGCTGCACATGGAAGGAGGGTGGATCGGTGTGCGGTGCCGAGGCGTGTTATCTCAGCGTAGCGTCGTATAGCACTGACCCGGGATCTAGATTTAGAAAAAAGATTATCTAGGGGTGTAGTTATTATTTTTCTCAAAAAAGAGTTGAAGAAACAAAAAAGTCAGGCACCCTTCTTGTCCACCCAAGACATGTGGCATAGCTTACCGGTGGATTCACTCTTTTGTCCAATCAAACTATGATTGGTCTAGCAGAACATTTTTAGGACTTCTTATGCCTACTAACAGTCCAATATTTCTTTCTAAAAAAACTTAATTTCAAATCAATCGTCTCATTTTGTGACTCATATTTTAATGTGGTTTTGTTGATATATTTTTCTTAAAAAAGTACCTACATACTATATCTTTCATAATAACTAGGATATCAAAGTAATAGCATAATCTTTTCAGAGATATATGGGCATTTTGCAGTTAGATATTGATTTTGACATTCTGGCTAGTATATCAAAGATTCATCGACATTTATTATTAGTTATACTTCGATTCTCCCATGCATGCTACATCGAAGACTCATATACCATGAGTCGTAGTGGTAAAAAAAAAAAATCGCGTATACTCTACATAGAGAATTAGAGATATATAATCCATTCAAAGAGGTATGAACAAATCAGTGTGTAGTGAGACATGGATTCGCCCATGCTATATCAAAGATGTATGGACATTAATTAGTTATTAGACATGGATTCTCACATCGTATACCGAAGATTCGTGGACAGCCTGTTCGTTTCGGCTGGATTGGCTTATAAGCCATGGCTGAAAGTACTGTTGGCTGGTTTGGTGTGAGAGAAAAATAATGTTCATTGACTGATAAGCCAAGGCTTATAAGCCGAATACGAGCTGCCGAACAGGCTAATTGATTATTAGTGCTAGAATGGATTCCTACATGCTTTATATAAAAGATATGTAGGTGCAGGGTAAGGTTCACATCCATACCAATTTCGAGACATTCGATCTTAGCAACATTGAACCGATAATAAGAATCCTAGTAGTGCAGAATGGTTGCTAAAGCATTCATTCGACTTCTCATCTTTGCACTGGCTATTACTATGCTTACAACGCTTGCTCAAGGGAGCCCTTTGGTTTTCAAAGCACATGTTTTTCAACAGTGCATGGATACCATAAAAAACATCCCCCATACAAACCACCAAGTCGTAAATGCATCCACACAGTCACTAAATCTAACTTGGTTAGCATCTGTTCTGTCCTTGACGCCAGCGACGAGGAGAAAATAAGTGTGGAGAGGCTTGTTAGTCTCGGACGTCAGTTTGGACAACATTTTACACCCGGGGCAAAATGCGGCAGTAAGTGTCTGGTACCATTTTATTTTATTTTATTATAAAAGGCTTTTTATACTGTTAGTATGCTATTATATTGTTATCATATAAAAAATATGACATAGACTTTTGTTTTCAGCTTACACTATTCCGTAGCTCTCGGGACCACCTGTGCCATGGTTGGCACATCTATGAGCGCTCCTGGGAAGATAGAGACAGCCATGGAGCAGCAAGAAATGGAGTACAATAAATATGTGGAAGGTTCCGATTCAAATGTCTTTCTGTAATGGCATGCGTGCCCATTGCTTTGAATAAGAAAGTCTTCTAATATGATATGTGTGTGGTTTTTTATATGCGTGTGGTTTTTTTAACTGGTCTTCGAATAAGAAAGTCTTCGAATATAACTGGTTTTCTTATATATGTGTATTTTGTAACCAACATGAAAAGGGTGAGCGTACCCTGAGTAGTGGCCCCGTGCTCCAGGTATGGGATCTCTTGGCAAGTTCTGTTACTCCCAATGACGGAGGACAGCAGTAGCTCCTACTGTCTTGGCCTCACATAATCTCCTTTGTTAAAATGATTTATTTACAGATCATCAATACATGGTCCAGCAACATGCAGTTCAAGTACAGAATAATACTTTCCCCACTGGGTAACAGCCCTCCACCATCTCACTCCTTAATCACAATGTCAATATGCCACATATTGTATATCATAATGTTTATGAACTTTTTATGGTTTTTATTACTGAAACCGTATCCTGAGCGTGGCCACTAATCCTTCCAATGTTATATGTTCTTCTCTTTTCTGGATATTGTAGATACGAAGGAATCAGAGGGATGGCCACAACTGCCAACGCATATGGCTTACCTCCGATGGATCAACGTTTGGGTGCTCAAAATATACAGGCCATGAACCAGAGTTCTTTACCCCGAGTTGGCGCAAACCCGTTTGCTTAGTCTGTTACCCCAGTTCTGTCGTTGTATATAGTTTTAGCATTTGATGCTACGTTTTGTCGTGAGAAGATGCTAGTGGAATAATCTAGAGGATCAAACAGAGTGGCAAGAAATGCCTGACCATTTTTGTGTATAGGATTTTATTTTCGCTATAAAAGATGTTGATTGCTCCACCTCCATCGTTCCTCCATCTCGTCGTCCCTCCTAGATGCACTGATTTGCACGTGGTGCCTCTGATTGGACAGGCTGTAACCTCTGCTGTGAACAGCCGCCTGGTTTGGAATTGGAATGGCAGCTCAAAGGGGACGTTTGTGTGTTGCGGTAGAGATGGAGATTGGGGCAGCCGGGCAGTGGTGGTGGTGGGGCTGCGTATGGAAGGAGGGTGGATCGGTCTGTGGTACCAAGGCCCCTAAGCGCCATGACCTATAGTGATCTAGATTTGGAAAAAGATCATCTAGAGGCGTAGATGTTATTTTTTCTCAAAAAGGGTTAAAACACATACACACACAAGAAAAAGTCAGCCACCTCGCTCGAGACATGCGTCTTAGCTTACCGGTGGACTCACTCTTTTGTCCAATCAAACTATGATTGGCTAGCAGAACATTTTTGGATGTATTATGCCTAGTTATAGTCTGATATATCTTTCTAAAAAACCTTAATTTCAAACTAATTGTCTCATTTTGTCACTCATATTTTAATGCGGTTTTGTTGGTATTTTTTTTAAAAAAGTATCTACATATTATTTACTCCACGCGTTCCAAATTATAAGTCGTTTTGACTTTTTTGGTATATCCATTTTGTTATGTATCTAGATATAATACATGTCTAGATACGTAGCAAAATGAATGTAATAAAAAAGTCAAAGCAATTTATAATTTGGAACAGATGGAGTATCTTTCATAATAACTAGGATATCAAAGTAATAGCATAATCTTTTCAGAGAGATATGGGCATTTTGCAGTTAGATATTGATTTTGACATTCTGGCTAGTATATCAAAGATCCATCGACATTTATTATTACTTATACTTCGATTCTCCCATGCATGCTACATCGAAGATTCATATACCATGAGTCGTAGTGGTCAAACATAAATTCGTGTATACTCCACATAGAGAATTAGAGATATATAATCCATTCAAAGAGGTATGGACAAATTAATTTGTAGTGAGAAATGGATTCTCCCATGCTATATCAAAGATGTATGGACATTAATTAGTTGTTAGACATGGATTCTCACATCCTACACCGAAGATTCATGGACATTGATTATTATTATTATTAGTCGCTAGAAATGGATTCCTCCATGTTTTATATAAAGATATGTAGGTGCAGGGTAAGGTTCACATCCATACCGATTTTGAGACATTCGGTCTTATCAACATTGAACCAATAATAAGAATCCTAGTAGTGCAGAATGGTTGCTAAAGCATTCATTCGACTTCTCATCTTTGCACTGGCTATTACTATGCTTACAACGCTTGCTCAAGGGAGCCCTTTGGTTTTCAAAGCACATGTTTTTCAACAGTGCATGGATACCATAAAAAAACATCCCCCATACAAACCACCAAGTCGTAAATGCATCAACACAGTCACTAAATCTAACTTGGTTAGCATCTGTTCTGTCCTTGACGCCAGCGACGAGGAGAAAATAAGTGTGGAGAGGCTTGTTAGTCTCGGACGTAAGTTTGGACAACATTTTACACCCGGGGCAAAATGCGGCAGTAAGTGTCTGGTACCATTTTATTTTATTTTATTATAAGAAATATGACATGGATTTTTGTTTTCAGCTTACACTATTCCAGAGCTTCCAGGACCACCACTGCCATGGATGGCACATCTATGAGCTCTTCTTGGAAGATAAAGAAAGCCATGGAGTAGCTAGAAATGTAGTAGAATAAATATGTGCAAGGTTCCAATTCAAATGTCTTTCTGTAATGCTTTGAAGAAGAAAGTGTTCAAATATGATATGTGTCATGTGTGTGGTTTTCTGTAACCGGTGTGAAATATAAGTTGAATACCAACATGAAAAGGCGAGCGTACCCCTGAGCAGTGGCCCCATGCTCCGGGTAGGGGTGAAAACGGTGCAGATATTTTTCAACCGAATTCGAGACCGAATCCGTTTAGAGGAGTTTAGATCTGTCCGTATCTGAGTGAAAGTTCTAGTTTGATTTTGAATAATTAATGAAACTCTAGGTACTAACCTTTGACTCTAAGTGAATATGAGATAAGTTAGTATACACCAATTGTTGGAGCAAAAGATGAAGTCCATGGTGATGTTGGTGGACATGTGATGATGGTGATCAAACTCCAAACTTGAAAA